AGGAGGGTAGACCAGTTATCTGTTTCACACAAACTTACTGTTACTGAACAAGGTTATTCAAAGACTCAGCGAGAAGCATTAGCTGTGTTTTGGGATGTTAAAAGACTTCATAAATATTTATTCAACGATGGAGTATTGCTTTGAGTGCCTATAACTATACGGTTCAGCACAGGAGTGCCAAACAAATTCAACATGTTGACTACATTTCTCGACAGTCATTACAAGATAAACCTGTTAATACTTCAGACTGTTTGTTAGTGCAACCATTACCAGTGAAACGTCCAGATCTCATTAGAGAAACTCGTAGATACTTTGGATGTATAATTAATGCTATACGGAAAGATTGGAATGCTAATCTGAAACGCAGATTTCCTGTCTATTTTTCAAGGCGGGATGAGCTGTCCACTACTCCTGATGGTATTTTGTGTTTAAATGATCGTGTTGTTATTCCTCCTTTATTGCGTAAATCTGTCCTTGAAGATCTTCATAGTGGACATTTAGGTGTTGAGAAAATGAAGTCATTAGCGAGGCTCACATGTTGGTGGCCAGAGATAAATGCAGATATTTGTCGTACAGCGAACAATTGTGAAAAGTGTCATAAGCTGAAAAATCAGCATTGGAAGTGGACTCCATGGCCAGTATCGTCTGAGGCCTGGCAGAGAATTCATGCAGACTATTGTGGTCCGTTTCTTGGCAAATACTAAGCGCTTGTAGTAATTGATTCTTTTTCAAAGTGGCCTGAAGTTTTTTTCACAACTTCACCAAATTCTGACTTCACAATTCAAGCATTAAGAAAGGTGTTTAGTCGAGAAGGGGTTCCAATGGTGTTAGTGACTGATAACGGCTCTCATTTTGCTGCAGATGCAGTCACTATCTGGCTAAATGGTATAGGGTGCAAACATCTGTTTACTGCTCCCAGACATCCTTGTTCCAATGGTCAGGCAGAAAATTTTGTCAGGACGTTTTAAACTGCTATTGATTCTATTGCCGCCTCAACATCTAATGAGCTGGAGAGGAGAGTAAATACCTTGTAGTGGCATTGAGCCCTACCACCAGACAATATGAGAAATAGACATTAAACATTTAACGCGGAAAAATACAGAATAATGGAGGTGGGGAGAATGAATTGAATTAATCGGAGTTAATCTTATGGCATGGCTCGACCATGCAGGCGTGGTCCCTCCTGCTAAATGTTACGTTATGTCTTTTATTCATATTAAATATATTGTTCCATCTCTAGCCTAAGACTGTTCTATATCATGTATTGGTAATTGTTACGACGCAGTGAGTTGGTGTAGATGATGATGTGACTTCCACTTCCAGACATCCTTGTTCTAATGGTCAGGCAGAAAATTTTGTCAGGTCGTTGAAAACTGCTATTGATTCTGTTGCCGCCTCAACATTTGATGAGCTGGAGAGGGGAGTAGATACCTTTCTACTGCAATATAGAAATGCCAGACATTCGGTGACGAAAGAGACTCCATCAAAGCTATTAAAAGGAAGAATTCTTCAGTCGAATATGAGATGTTTGGAGTCTGCAGAAGTTACATATTATCGTGGAAATGATCTTCGACCCTCCACAGCGATTGTTCTGAAGAATGTCGGGAAATCTATGGTGAGACTTCTAGATATCAATGACTCTGTAAAATTACGGTCTACTATGATATTAGCACTGTTCTAATAATAGACCTAATCCCAAAATTGTAGATTTGTTATGATGTAACTGCCTAATCTATAAGATCTTACGTGGAAGTTACATCATCATCTACACCAACTCACTGCGTCGTAACAATTACCAATACATGATATAGAACAGTCTTAGGCTAGAGATGGAACAATATATTTACTATGAATAGAAGACATAACGTAACATTTAGCAGGAGGGACCACGCCTGCATGGTCGAGCCATGCCATACCATCAACTCGGACTAATTCAATTCCTTATTCCCGCCTTCTCCATTGTTGGGTATTCCTCCGTGTCAAATATTGGATATCTATTTTCCGAGTGGTCTCGTGTTCAGCTTTGAGGATTGTGTGGTTATGATCCGATGCCACTACTACTTAAGTACACACAATCGACATTTTGATCAAATACAATTCCAGGAACCACGTGAGTCTGTTCCAATTTCGGTTGTTAATTCTAATACTAATGAGTGAATCCTATATAATACAGAGTCTTTATCCAATACACTGTTGGACAGACACAGGATGAACTTGAGAAGAAGACGTACAATTGATTACAGACACTTAGACTCCAATTTAAGCTGTGGCGGATGTGGTGTTTGAATGAACTAATGATTCCTTTGTACTTGTTGAATGCCTGATTTCAAATTTCAAATACAGTACATTCGTTTGTGCATATGTAGCAGTTCTTGATCCACTTACATTATTTCAGGGATTCTTAGTTCATACTATAATTCAATTACTCTTAATTATCATCGTGATTTCGTAATAAAAACCCGTATTCTAGTTCAAAAATTTGAATTATACCTGTATGTAGCAATCATAACTCCCTATGGTAATTCATAAGCCTTTCTCGACCCTAGTTACTAGATGCGTCGTCTTAGGGTCGGGGTCGGCACATTAGTGCTATTGAATATTGTCTGAGAACATAAAATTCTCTTTCCTAAACTTTCACAGCTTCAACGATACAGGGCTACACTGTGGTGAAACAAGCACTGAACGAAGGCTTGGTAGGAGCATGGTGATTACTCATTATTTCATTGCTCGAAAAACTTTTATGCATGACATTTTTTATATAGGCGGTTTGTACTGTGTCTATTTGTACTTGATAACCATTGATTGTTCTCCAACAAATCATTGTGCCGCATTGTGGTGTGGTGCTAATTGATGACTCTTTCATGTGTCACATTATGTTCTTGATTAGAATCCCAAGTACAATACCTTCGACTGCACTCATAGGGTTCACTCAGACTTCAAAACTGGCCCACACGACTTATAGAACAGAAGTGGAACAATGTTGGCTATTACTATTTAGCGTGCCTAACTCGAATTTTTCTGATTATCACATATCCAGGTCATCTGTTTAACTTAATGCCTCATCGCTTTCTACGATTTCAATTTGCTTTCTGCATTTTGTATTTTTCATCCACTCGTTACACTACATTCAGGGCCATCCTTTAATTGTCATTAACGGTATCAAGAACGTAAGGGGAGACAAACAATACATGTTTCCACAGTCTTAGCAGGTAGACAACCGTGAGAACAAATCCTTGATCGTATTCAAAGTCCTAATATCGGAGGCACTTTAATTGGAAAGTAGGTCGGCATTTGACAAATTACAAAATGACAAACACCGTACAATCCTGGGATAAGCCATCACTTCATGTGGGCTATGTCGTCTGTATAAGGGCCGAGACGTAACAAAAGGCAACCCCCCTACGATGGGGTTGATGGTACAATCCTAACTAAACACACCTTGGCGTCAGTTGGCTTTGATTCCCAACCCACCTTACAGAACACAAAGACCAAGGTTTCAGTTGTGGAACACACTATACAGACAAAAAGCCTTCAGTGGCCAGCTCGCTCGGAACTGACCAACACAATTTAAACATCAATCTGTTTAAAATTTAGATTACAGACTCTGCTGTAGAGGAGCGCAGACGTTGAGACAAACAACCAAGTGCCTTTGTAGCAACGTAGGAGGATTATGGGGTAAACTAGCAAAAATTAGAAACATGTACATCTATTTAGATCTGCAGATCGTAGTCTTCGCTGAAACTTTGCTATCGCCCTGATGAAGAAGTGAGCTTATGAGACATGATACTTTTCCAACGCAACAAAGTGCACGAAATAGGAGGATAGGTTAGATTATATATCAATAGGCACTTCAAAACTAAAACTCCATAGAGTACTGAACTAATCGGTATGCCAGAATCATGCTAGTGTTGCTTCAGTATTAACGGCATGAAGTAATTGAATAAAGAAGTACACAGACCACTTATATTTTTGAGAACCCAAAAACATGAAATAATGTAGGGGACAGTGAAATTAATACACCTCAGTTTTGACCAAATACATATAGCTGAAGCCTTCAACACTCCATGTGACCACAAACGAATTACTTCGCCATGACGTGAATGTTCCCTGCCGTCACTACACTAGAGCGGATCACACCACTATGTGGATTACCCCTTTGTCATATCCAGGTACTATGGCTGCAGTAGATGTTGAGTTAAAATTTAACCCGTCGAAATGTCATGAACATTCCGTTTAATTTAACACAAAGCACTAATAATCCCATGGAACTTTACTCCCGATTATCTCATCAGACAGTGATCTCATGCTTCTAACTACTGAGTGGTTAGACAAAGGCTCACGCAACATGGAGAATCCGTCCAACACAAAGCTCTCACTTTTTCTATTTTGAATTGCACCCATTTGAAATGCTTTCTTGGTCAAAGTAACTGTAGCTAACCCAGTGCATAGCTTTGGGAGGATACTCGACAAACACGCACTCACCCGTGAATTACCGTCTCACTCTTGGACCAGCTGCTTGATGTCTCATAATTACCACGGTTATCACTACCACATAACTAGTGAATAATTCCTACCTCTAATATTATTATTATCTCCGTTTCCCTGATATTATTTTCAATACCATCTTCTTACGCGTCTTCAGTCACACAAATTATTTATTTAATCTTGAATCAGCCATCTATTAGCACTTAAATTATCACTTTATTATTTTTCCACTGCAACCAACCAACATCCCGCCTAATAATGCGATAGCTGCTGGCATTCAAAAATGCTACTGCCCTGAGACAAATTCACTTATTCAACTACAAGATGTATAAATTCACAAATGATTACTGCAGTGACTGAAATTATAGCAAACGAGTGGCTAGGATGTCACACATTGAACATAACTAAATACTTGGAACCGCAACAAAACAATAAGAAACGAATGCAAATAAGTTAATTGGTTTATACAAGCTCATGATGCAAATATTGGATATTGGAGGAGGCTTTCTAGGGCCGTTTTAAAAGTGTTGTTACTACTTTCGTCTGCTGTTTCCCAGCTTCGGTTAGGTTCTCCAATAACTTGCAAATGGTTGTTGCACTGTGATTAAATCTAATTCAAATAAATTATGATTCACTTTTACTATGAATATATTAGACACTGTCATGGAATTTAAAATGATGTGCCAGCTACAACTACTCTAAGGAAATAGCTTCAACAGGATGAGTGCATGTTTATTTTCTCAGCATTTTTGGGGAGAAAAACATTCAGGGTTTGATGCCATGTATCAAAATTTCAAATTATGTTATCGCACTTCGTCTGAATTTGCCGAATTCCTCCGTGAAAGTTATACAGCAGAAGACAATTATTACAAAACACTTGTTAAACTATCTAAACAAGCAGGATCATACAACAACACTAGTAGTTTCAAACCATGTTGGTCTCTCCTCAAGCAGTTTATTGACCAAATCTCCCAGGTCCATCTAACTATTGCACAAGAACGACAGAATCTATCAAGAGATGTGCAAAAGTATCTGGAGGAGCAACACAAGAAGCAAAAGCTAATCAAAGATACAGAGGCTTCCACGCAGGAAGTTGTACATGCTTTTCAGGTAGTTTTTTCCGGTATATGTATATCTTATCGCCGATTGGTAACGTTTATCCATACAATATAAATTGCTTAGTTCCCATGTATTATGTTCTCAGTAATTGCTGTTACCAATTACTTCATCGTTTATTATGTTGTGTCATTAAATCGTTGTATAATGTTGAGGCAATCAGTAGCTTTTACTTCTCTAAACTGCTGAGAGTCAGTAACATCATCCTGAGCATGGTGTTGTTGTTCATCAACATTTCCTTTCCCTCGTAAGGTTTACTCTAATGTCCTTAGTTACATTTTTTCCCTTTATACGCTTCGTAGAATGTGAAATTAGGATCCATTTTATTGAAAAACCCTTCGTTGTATTTATCTGTATGGCAAGCATCCAAGGGATTCATGACGTCATTTGTTATCTAAAAATCTCGTAAATATCGTGATTTGATCGTCCAAAAGTTCTTGAGAAATAGGTTCAGGTTATGTTATTCCCAACATTTCATCGAAAAAACAACTCACTTCAAGTTTCTTCTTAAAGAACATCATCTCTATGATTTCATTAGTCAGTATCCTATAAGTTCTGATAGTCCGTAGATTCGGGTGGAAAAGCCTTAGTGCACTATTTATACATATGAAAGGGTAATCTTTAAGACGATAGACTTTACTAGTTATTTTAATTTATAATCTAATAAGACGTATTTCATAAGCTAAAAGTAGAAAAGCAGTCTTCATAATTTTCAGCCGTTTTTTGGAGCTATAAAAGTAATGCACTTATGTTTCATAAGCAGTACACGGTTTTTATATAGAGCTACTTTCTCCCATTCAATTACTGTTTCGCTGCTCAGGTAACTTCCGTTCAACTTCAGAAAGCGAAGGAGGCATATCATTCACGTTATAATGAATATGAGCGTGCTATGCGCTTGGAGTCTGGTTCTAATCGAGATCAAGAAAAACTTGAGGTCAAGCTTAAAAAAGCTCAGGATGAGTACAAATATTCAGTCGAAAAGTATAATAACCTACGCAATCAATTCGTAAGCAAAATGCACATCTCTTGTGCCCAGTTTGAGGTAATCTAGACTCTTGGTACATATTATGCTATATGATTGAGTTTTTCTTGCACTGTTTCCAAAAAATAAGCTCTAGTTTTAGATTTAGCTATTATTAATCGTCAAAGTACTTCAGGTGCTTTTGTTGATTGTGGTAATTAATCAGTTGCCGTAAATGTGTCATGTGTCCAAGACTCCATAGCAGTGGCAACCACGATATTACATGGAATTGAACCAAGTTTTTTTAGGTTTTATCACAAGCAGTTTCCTTGGAAAAATAATATGCCCATTTAATTCTAAGCATAATTTACTGCTTTGTTTGACTTCGGTAGTGCTGAAGACTTAAACACGAGTATGTTTAACCACAAAACACTCATTTAAAATAAAACATGTATTCTGAATTTCCTGATAGCTTACCACTTCCAATTGCTTACTACGAAGCTTCAACTAAATCTGTTTTTTCACCGATAGTGAGATCGATCTGTTGCTCTGCTAATTCAAACTACATTCATTCAATAATAAAAAAATCCCAATCGTATTCAACTAGCGGCATTTATATGAAAGTGTCTAATCTGCAAAATGGTTCGCCTTTTAGATATTTTGTCATTTTAGTCCTACAATATTTAACATATATCTGTAACTGGTCTGATTTATTACAAAAATCTAGATCGTTTATCGGATACTGTTTATGTATATTAAGCTTATCAGTAAATTATCACCATCTAATAATGAACTGATGTCATATATTTCCTGAGAATAATAAATAGACTACTACCAGTGTCAAAGCACGTACCAAGGAAAGTGCATGTGTAGCTTCTGAAAAAAAGGGATTGTGATATATTTTCAGAATTTTGAAACCAACATTTTACATGAAATCCAATTAGCGTGAGCTTATTCACAGCTTATATTGTATCAACTGCTATTAATCAATACCAATGATGATCTTGTTCACTGCAAGTCTGAGGACTTATCTTACACTTGAAAAAAAATTAGTAAAACGGGATTGCATAAATAAGTATTTAAGTGTTATTAACTTTGACTGAATAAAATCAGTTAGTGGTTCATGTAAATACCCCTTATTTAGCTCATTTCTTTAATATCCTTTTCTTCACTAATGACGCTATCTTAATTGAGAGGAATTGCCGGTTTGTGAAAAACGTGTCCTGGATATTTTAAGGACAACTTTTTAATCAGCTTAAGTATTTTAAGTCAAGTAACTCTTATGTGTGCACTATCCAGACAACTACGTTTATGATGATAATAACTTGTAGTTTATTTAGAGAAGTAGCATTTTGACTGACGTTCTGTTTTGAATTTTAAAATGATATTCTATACTGTGTTCACTTTTTAGCCTGTTTATTTCTTAACCTTTGACTCAAATAACTCTAATTCCCATTATCGTTCCTTTACTTTGTATTGTAAAAGGAAATCGAAGTTGCACATCTGGTACAGATGAAAGAATTTCTGCATCGGTATGCATCTGTCTGGTCCATCACGGGTGATGCTTTAGGCAAATTACACAATCAGTTTGATCGTGATTTGACTGAGTTGACTACAGACAGATTATTGAATATTCTTGTAACCGAAAGAGGCACTGGGACGTCGGAGCCACAAGGTGTGCAGTTCGAAGATGCAGAGGTTGCTGCCGCGTTTTCATCAAATGCAACTGAACGTGCCAACGGAATAACAGCCAATGGTGTTCGTGTTTTAGAGGCATTTTTCGCTCGCGAAGCCAGAGCTGCCTCTGCACTTGCAAGTAATTTACAGCATGAAGCTTGTCTAAGAAATCAAAATATTCTGCTAGAAAAGTTTTAATGTTATGGTTCGATAAAAACTTATGTATATGCTTATTAGACACAATACTCATTTGTTTGCTTTGCAAATCAAAACGTATGATAAATTAAAACGAATTCTTTTTGTGAACGTTTGCGCTTCTAGTTTGAAATATTTCAGAAAATTACTTCCAAGGACTGAAACTGAAGATATAGAAACCCATCCTTAATACTACCCACAATTAAAAATTGTGATAAACAGAAATGTTCTAAATGATCTCTCTAGAAGTAAATAATCGTACATGTAACGGATCTGGATAAAGTAGTAAAATGTTTAGAATGAAAATGAAGATAAAAAATAATTAGCTATAAGTTATTAGTCAAATTTCAATTATTTAGATACAACAGTGACTCAATGTGGTATAGATGCCTAAATAATTTTATCTTTCTTGCTGTGAACGGTTTATTTGTATTGATCATCCTCAACATTTGTGACTAACCAGACTGTACGACGTCTATTTTTATTATTTATTTAGTTCTCACCATTTCACTTCACTAGTGTAGAAGTTAATACTCTTTTTAAATCTGAACTTGTAAAATTTGTTAGCTCAATACAGCATAATTTTTAGCCAATGTCTGTTGTTTGTGTTCATAATCAACTATTCGGTTATTTATTTACTCTGAAGAAGTGGCTTACATTAAGTCTTGTACCGATATCTATGTGTTAAAATAAAATAAAAAATAAAAGTCACGAAAAGTCAAAAATATAACTTCTCTGCCGATTGGGATATAACAAAAATATATTCATTATTAGCTTTCTACCCAATGGACAGTTGACAGACGCATTCCTAGTTAAGACCGTGGTCAGACAAGGCTGCTTACTCTCCCCCCTAACTCTTTCTTCTGATGTTCGACTGCATTATGAAGACCTCCACATTTGAGAGGGAGCACGGAATACAATGGACGGCTTACATGCAACTAGACGATTCGGACTTCGCAGATGACCTGACCCTTCTATCCGATACACACGAACAAATTCAGGTGAGGACAACTAGTGTAGCAGCATCCTCAGCATCAGTAGGCCTCAACGTACACAGAGGAAAAGCAAGATCCTCAAATGCAACAAAGAGAACACCAACCCAATCACACTTGATGGAGAAACTCTGAGAGGTGCGGAAAGTTCCACATACCTGGACAGCATCATCGATGAACAAGGAGGATCAGATGCAGACGTAAGGGGGAGGTTTGGCAAAGCAAGGGCCGCATTCCTACAATTGAAAAACATATGGAACTCAAAACAACTTCTAATCAATATCAAAGTCAGGATCTTCAATACGAACGTCAAGACAGTAGTACTATACGGAGCTGAATCTTGGAGAACTACTACAACCATCAAGAAGGTACAAATATTCATAAATAGTTGTTTATGCAAGATACTCAGCATCCATTGACCGGATACCATCAGTAACAGTCTTCTGTGGGAGAGAAAAAACCAGCTTCCAGTTGAAGAAGAAATTCGGAAAAGGCACTGGAGGTGGGCAGAACATGCATTACATAAATCATCAGACTGCATCACGAAGCAGGCCCCAACTTGGAATGCTGAAGGGAAATGGAAAAGAGGAAGGTCAAAAAAGGATTTTTCAGGAAAAATTTTGATGGGGGAATGCTGGTGAGAGGCCTATGCTCCTTCACGAGGAGGGAGCAACAGGCGTAAGTACGTTATACTAAATGCTCAGTTTATTTGCAACGATCAAGTCATACTTGGCATCGATACTTATATGATTGACTACGTTTTTTGTGTTACAGTGTATGGTGTTTTCACAATATTTGGTTTTGTGCTATCTTTAATTGAAGCATTTTTCCGCATAGTTGTAGGTTCTGGTACCAAAGATAATGGTGAATCAAGTCTCAACAGCTTAACAGATGTTAGATCAGACGCGGTCTCTGTAACTAGCATTTCCGTAGGTGTTGTGCCGTCGGTAACAAATATATCAATTTCTGGCAATGGGACTGCAAAACGCCGAGAAGGATTTTTTCGTCGACGCCGTAATTCCTTGTCACAGGATCCTGCTCCTGCTGTCGGTGACAATGCATCAGGATCGTCCACCTCAGTCGGTGCGGCCATTGGGACAAACACCAATATTCAAGCTAATAGTAGTATTAGTCTCAGTGCTTTCACCGTCGTTGCCAAACGTGGGATTCGTCGATTAGGCACTCCTTATTCAAACGGTAAAGACAAACCAATAAAGCAAATGGACAAGTCAGGTAGATTTGTAGGTATCATTACCAAGGTTTGATTTGATAATTTTGAATAAATTGAGCATTGGGTTGATTGTTATAAATAAATAATATATTTGTAATATCCCAATGAGTAGAAAATTAGATCTTCTGACGTTTCGTGGCTTAGTGTAAGTCACTTCTTCAGAGAATAAATAATCAAATTAAAATTAATTAATTAAAATTAATCCCACGGATATCCGTCTCCGGCGGTAAGGACTCAACAAGTACGGAGCTAACACAAAAATCACTCATAAAAAGGTCGTGTGTGACCGACCTCAAGCAGCTGTCCCTTGGGCACTGCGGTCACGCTCTCAGGTCACTATGACCAACTCTAATCCAATTTCCTTTTCAGGTACCTCCAGAAGAACCCTTCCACGGTGTGGGCAACCGGGAAGTGATAACCGCCCTCATACCTCTAACAGCACTCAAGACCACTGTATTCATAGTCAACTTCCCTCTTCAATTCCTATTATTCCTCCTACATCGACTTTATACACTAAACTTCCTCTTTTAGCTTCCTCCTCAAGTGTCACCACAGCCAACGATTCTAGTGCTCAAAACACTGTCCCAGGTCTACTGAAACCTCGCTCCAAACTATACATTGGAGCCTTCAACGTACGCACACTATGCCAAATCGGTCAGCAGGCTTTCTTGGCTAAAACCTTAGAATCTCGTACCATTGATGTATGCTGTGTCTCCGAAACACGCATACAGGATCCTAGTGTGGTCATTCACTTGACCTCACCTCGGCAAAACGGAGAGCCAACGAGATACACCCTCCGTGTATCTGGCGACCCGATGGCTAGTTCTCGTGGACTGGCAGGTGTAGGCATAGCACTTAGCATGAGGGCGGAACAAGCGCTATTAGAGTGGATCCCCGTTAACAGTCGTCTATGCGCTGTTCGGCTAAACGGCTCCGTAAGAACTCGGAAGGATAGGGACCCACGTCGTTGCCTTTTCGTCGTTTCTGCCTACGCTCCCACTGACTGCAGTTCGGATGAAGTGAAAGATGAATTTTACAGAAAGCTGTCTGAACTTCTTCAGAAAGCTAAACGTTCAGACATAGTACTCGTAGGAGGTGACTTTAATGCCCAGGTAGGTAGCCTAAACAAAACAGAAAGACATTTAGGTGAGTATTTTAGTATTCCGGCACAGCGAACAGATAATGGTGATCGTCTGCTGCAACTTTGCTCAGACAATCGTTTATTTTTAGCAAACACAAATTTTAAGCATAAGGAGAGACATCGTCTAACATGGCGACCCCCTGCACCAAACCAACGATGGACTCAAATAGACCATATTGCCATTAGTCATCGTTGGAGAGGGTCAATAGAAGATTGTCGCTCATTCTGGAGTACCTGCTTGGACTCTGATCATGCCCTAGTACGAACACGCATCTGCTTGCGCCTCACTGGACGCAAAAGAGCCACACAAAAAAGACTCATTAGAACCGAATTGAGTAATGAGAAAGCCAAAAGTAGGTTCCAGGAACAACTGAGGTCACACTTAGGTAGTTCTGAAAACGAGACTGGCCCAGATGTTGCTTGGAAAGTTATACAAGCAGCTGTGGAAACAGCAGTGACATCTACTAGTGATTTAAACCAAATGGTTACAAAAAACCAATGGATTTCGTCAAGGTCTATTGCACTGATAGATTTTCGCAAACTCATCCCATCAGGTTTTGAATACGATGAAGAGCGTAAAGAAATCAAATCTAGATTAAGCAAAAGTCTAAGGAATGATCGTGAGCAGTGGTGGGCAACGAAAGCAAAAGAGATGGAAAAGGCGGCGGCTATAGGGAACACAAGACAACTCTACAGACTAATAAAAGAAACTGGAATTAATAAATCAAGTGTAAGTCAGACCATTTCGGAAAAAGACGACACTCTCATCTGCTCCCAGTTCAGACGCTTAGAACGATGGGCGGAACACTTTAAGGAGCAGTTTAGCTGGCCTTCAGCTACTCTACAACTACCCTCTATTCCCAGACAGTGTGAATGGAACATTGAAGTAGGTCCCCCAACTCTAGCTGAAGTTCAAAAGGCTATAGCTAATCTGAAACGAGGAAGGGCAGCAGGTCCAGATGGATTGGCCCCAGAGGTCTTTAAGGATGGTGGTCTAGTCTTAGCGATTAGGTTGACTAATATTTTAGCTAAAATCTGGGAGTTAGACGTTATTCCATCTAACTGGTCACAATCACTTATCGTCCCAATATTTAAGAAAGGGTCAAAATCATCCTGTGACAACCACGGAGGGATTAGTTTGACTAATATAGTATCTAAAATACTAGCTTCGATCATTTTCGGACGCCTAACTAAGACTCGTGAACTGCAAACACGTGAAAATCAGGCTGGCTTCAGACCTGGTTGTGGCTGCATCGACCACATATTCACCATTCGTCAGGTTCTAGAACACAGGCATACTTATCGGCGTCCGACAATAGTGGTCTTCCTTGATTTAAAAGCAGCGTTTGACTCTGTTGACCGAGAGGTTCTGTGGCAGTGTCTGTCATTGAAAGGCGTACCTCAGAAGTACATAAACCTTGTGAAGGCTCTTTACTCGAACACTACTAGTCGGGTCAGAGCCTATGGCGAACTGTCATCTGCTTTTGCAACCTCAAGTGGCGTCCGTCAAGGCTGTCCACTTTCTCCTTTTTTGTTTAACTTTATCATAGACATCCTGATGGAAATAACGCTCTCATCGACTGACTTCTCGGGTATTGATCTCCTACCAGGAGGTCCACTTATTGACTTAGAATACGCAGATGACATAGTCCTGTTTGGTGAAGACGCTGATAAAATGCAGAGTCTTTTGGTAGCACTGAGCAACAATGCTAGAATGTTTGGGATGCGCTTTTCTCCCTCTAAATGCAAGTTGTTGCTTCAGGACTGGTCTGCATCAACACCTGAACTAAGGATAGGGAGTGAAGTAGTCGAACGCGTTGACAACTTCGCTTATCTTGGAAGTCTGATCAGCCCTAATGGGTTGGTGTCTGACGAAATCTCAGCACGGATTCGAAAAGCTCGTTTGGCCTTTGCCAACTTACGTCATCTATGGCGAAGGCGAGATATCCGTCTATCAATTAAGGGACGAGTATACTGCGCGGCAGTTCGTTCCGTCCTTCTATACGGCTGCGAAACATGGCCTTTAAGAGTGGAAGATATTCGTACGTTACTAGTATTTGACCACAGGTGCCTTAGAAATATTGCGGGTATCTGCTGGGATCACCGGGTAAGTAATAGTGAGGTTAGACGCAGGGTACTAGGGAATGATGGTAAATCAGTTGATGAGGTTATGAATCTTCATCGACTGAGATGGTTGGGCCACGTGTTGCGTATGCCTGAACACCGATTACCACGACGCGCAATGCTGACTAGTGCAGGGGATAATTGGAAGAAAGTTAGGGGCGGCCAAACCAACACGTGGCATCAGTGCTTGAAGTCACTAACTTCTGGTCTGAGCCATGTTGGGAGATTCAGACTGCCTGGTTGGGGTCCGCGTGACTATCGTAACCAATGGTTGGAGACTCTTGGTGACATGACTCAGAATCGATCACAATGGCGTCGGTGTATACACTCTCTGTCTTCCTTAAATTAAGAGATTAAAATCGCTTCATATCTGTCTAGGAACTAATTCTTTCTTCCTTTACTATCTCCTTATACACAATCTTTCTTCTATATATTACCACCACTGAATTAACTACTCCTATGAATCCGGTGTTCATCTTGTTGTGCTAATGCGGTATGGCAACTTGGACCGATGCATATACGTGCCTGGTCCTACGTTGCAGCTGACTGACTGACTGACTAATCCAAGTTTAAATAGTACAACGGAACAATACAAGAATATTATTTGATTCAAATATTATTTTTGTATTGTTCCGTTGTACTATTTAAGTCAGGTAGATTTGTTTGACAATACATAATTTAAATAGTTTCCATTGATGTTTAGGAAATAAATAGCTTATGTGTTAAGTGGGGTCTGTAAATTGAATTTTGTGTTGTAATTAGCCTCTGAACGTAAAATTTCATTTTTAGTAAACATCTTAGTATTTGGTAAATATCAGAGGTGTTTGAAGCATATGATCCTGATGATTGTACTTAAATCTAAATTGAATTGTTCGCCAAGTGCTTGGGTACGAGACGCAGTCTAGGTATGGGGTTTTATGATACTGCTCAGTTCTCCAAACCGAAGTAGATGTAGCAGGATTTGAACCTCTGACCTAGTGGCTGAAGGTCAAACCCATTAGCCACAGGACAAATATTCAGGAAATTGAGGCTTTCTGTGCTATTTTTCGGACTATACTATTTGTATCTTCATCGCATTTTGTAGATAACTATATTGTTACATTTCTATACCTTCTTTTTTGTAAGCTTCCATTGGACCTATTGATTATTGTTATGCATTTTAATATTCCTTAGTTATTGCTAATTGATTATGTACTGTCTGTTCAGCCCTCTACCACCTATGTTACTATCGCGCTTGATGTTTGCTTTCTATATGGTCAGGCGTTTGCAGTACATTATTGCATTAGTTTTTTAGTCATTATCGAGTTGAATACAATAAAGACCTAATTCGCCTCCTATCATCGTCTTCTGATTGGTCACTGAGTCAGAAAGGGACTCGAGGACCAATAGGGGTTAAGGCCGTGTTTGTCACTTATCGGCCAGTGTTTAAATCCGTGAAATTTATCACGGGTCCGTTTGGGGATATGATACGCAATGTCAATTCGGAATTCTCAAGCCTTCACAAATCTGTACCAAATTTCCCCGGAATACAACACCACTAAGGCACGATTACATGGCTAATCCATCCTTAAGTCTGAGTATACTGATTGGGTTACCTCCAACCAGTCAGCGATGCTGGTACCTTGAGTAAATTTTACAATAACGTATGTTTCTGTTACTTTACCTTCTGTTATTCGAGTTCATTAGAATTTATCTCGTGCCAACTCGTTCTCGTTTTAGTTGTTTCCGAGTAGAGTGAAAAGTATTTGTCAAGATATATTAAACAAAAGAATATAACGGATATCAGATATTAGCACTCAGTAATCACTTGCACGTATATTTAGTGAAATATTGGCTACTCTGCAATCAATTTTTGATCCACCAGCACATGATATTCTATTCCCAATAAAATTTCACTTATTACCACTGGCTATTTGTATTCTATATCAAATACATTTACTCTTTATTTAGCTATTTGTTCATAAATTAGACGAAAAAACTTTCGGACACTTGTGGATATTGGCAAAGTTCTGATTATGGGTCTGATAAATTGAGATTACTCATACAATAAAGTGTTTCTGATTGACGGTTAGTGAAATCGAAGAAACAATAAGTAAACTTAATTAAATCAATGACATAAAGTATTTCTGTTTGTCTTCATTTTAATCTTTACGATACTGTTGCTATATTCTTCGGATGATATCTTCAATGTCAGTTACTTATTTTTGCAGATACCATTACTTCAAAAAGTGATGATTGGCGGACTACTACACCCGTAGAATTACCGAAAGACGAAGACGGTTATAACATTAGACCACCTGATCCATGGGGTGAAAACTCTTCAAATTTCAATCATTCTGAGGCTGATGACTCAGGTTCCGAAGAAGATCTACAAAACAAAGCGAACAAAACATTTCATGGCCTAAAGGTAGGTATTTATCTTTCCTTAGAGTTGTATAGTGCGAGTACACTTAAATGTTGTGTGGACTGAAACAATAGGATGGTGATCTTTTTAGCTGCTCATATATATGTATAAATATATAAGCTGATTGTATAAAATTCAATCCGGTAGTGAAGATTAATACTTCCGGTTGAGACTTAATAATGTGGGACACATTTAGTACTTCTGTGTGACTTTTCTTTGTTTGTTTGAATAATACTAACAGCTTATAACTTAAAACGTTCTTGTGTTTTCGGGTGCAGGAGTAGGATGGAAGAAAGTTAAGGGCGACCAAAACAAAATATAGCGCCAGTCCATGAGGTCACTGATACTTAGAATTATCCATGTAAATAGGTATAGACTATCTGGTTGGGGTTCGCGTGATTATCATAACCAATGGTTAGAAACTTTACGACATGACTCAAACTCGTTTGTAATGGCGGGTATGTATCCTCAAACTCTGAGATTCTAAATTCCCCATAACTTTTGTTGTTTTTGTTTCACTAGTTTATATTTTCTTTTCGAATCGTATTTTCGATGCCTAATTTTTCCTACTATTACTGATACCGTTACTACCTCTTCTATTCTGGGATTTGCCTTGACAACTTCATCTCTGTGCTAATCGGTGCGGAAACTTAAACCGATGTTCATTCGTACCATGTTCTATGTTGTGACTAACTGACTGAAAGCCTAACTTTACATACGACGGAGTTGCGCGTTCCATCAACTTTTTATTGAATAGTCTTTCCTAAACTTTGTAATTGTTACATTTTGAGTTTAGGAACAAAAGTTTGGTACAGGAAATCGTTTCGCTGTATGTATATACCTCCAATTCAGCTTGCTTACATTAAATATGAATTTTAGAAATCAGATGAGATTATATAAATTTTTTGTTATTTCACTTGGTTTGTTCTGACGTTTTCTATTTTATAAAACTACGTAAAGATGTGTTTCCGTTTATTTTAACACGTAGATGTGACAGTTACACAATAATTGATTATTTGACAGTAACATCTTGTAACAGTCTAAAACGTTATCACTCACATAATAGGACTTCGACTGATACTCAGCCGGATTGGTTTGGTTTACACCAATCGGTCTCTTAGTATTAATTAGTATTATGTTAGGTTTGATTGATAATCGAATTATGTAGGTTGTTACAATACGATCAGTATACCAAATAATTCGACGTTATGGCACACTTTGTTTCGACATTAGGTGGTCATAGGAATTTGACAGCAAGTCCCTGATCAAGATTTTGCTCCAGTTATCATGCGTCAGTAGGTTATACATGGTGTTTTGATGGAACTGATGCGCTTTGTGGGGTTCGAACCCGTGTTACTCAGACCACAGTCAGAGACATTACTCTTAAGCCTCTCGAATTGACTAATTTGATCTTATTAGTTATCATGAGATATTGCGCTTACCAGTGATGAAATACTGTGGGCAATGGTTTATGAGAATTAAAATAATTAGCTACGTTGGTTATTTTCTATCAAAAGAATATTTAAATCTGTCATGATAAGTACGGCACTAGTTAAACCCTTGCGAATGCATTATACTCCAGCGTCTGCATCATCCACATAGTTGGCATTGAAAAGATCCTCTTTTAAAACTAAGAGTACATTAAACTTTCTAAAACAACCACTCAGTTTAGCCTTCATTAAAAACACAAAAAGTGCTAACAAATTTCGAAACCGTTAGTATGGTTTCATTGAAATGATCAATAGTAAATCTACGAATTGAAAAAGTTGCTAATATCAATTTTTTTGAGAACTTACGATACATGGGTTAGAAGAGTGTTTCATCTGGCAAATGTTTACATCATATACCACAACAACTTGAATATGTTTCTGGAAGATAGATTGCTACAGTTGATCAGTTTTTTGTTCAAACAGTATGTAACTTGCTCCTATAAGTTCAGATCCATGTTTTACCCTTGATATCCTATCATTACCAATGCTCGTTCGAATATGTGATACCAGCTAAAATCAGCAAACACTTGAGGCCACTTTTTTCATAAATGGTATGTCCTGCTATCGAACGCTTTCGACCACTACTCCTTATTCAACTTTTAAATTTACTTCATGTCAAGGTAAATTTAAGTGCACAAACCAAAGATTATTTATTTGCTTAAAAACCTATTTCATACTCCTAGAAATGTATTAAAAGCAAGTGCAAACGTTAATAATGGCTTGTCAATCCGACTAAATAGATTAGAAGTAAATATTGGTGCATAAATTTCTGTAATTCGCTACTGATGCTTATTGGCTGGAAAGTATTCTAAGAGTTTAATTAACTTTTGCGGCTATTTTCAAGGATGAGTTTTATCATCTAAGAACTATAGGTCTTGAAAATGTTATTAAAAAAACATCCATGTATTTATGTATGCATTTAACAATGTGAAACGTCGATTATATCTTACCTTTAATCTAGGTTAATATCCGTCCAGTTGGAGAGTTTGCTCCAGGAGTAGCGCTTAAATATAATGGGGATAAATTAGAATCTCATCCAAAGCCTTTAGAGACAATTAAAAGTCCTAAAAGCACTGGGAATTCACAAGTCCCCTTACTTATTGATCATCGTGTCGGATCAACACTTCGATCACCACGTTCAAGCATATCTTCATATCAAAATATTCCTATCACTGCAGGATCGGATGGCATATCAAATCATGATTTGATTAATGCATTACCTCTCCCACCATTGTTACCGCCTCCCCCTCCACCGCCATTGTCATCAGTGTCATCATCTACCACTGAATCTTTTGCTCCTGTCGGTGCTGGTGGTTCAATGCGTGCTCGGAATGTCGGTTTGTTATCGTTTAATACACTCAGTAAGGGTCATTCAATATCAGCGATACGTCCACGTGGATACAGTTGCAATACATGGACTAAAAGTAATTGCTTTTTTATTTCTAAATAAGTCGATTGTTGGCGATTTTTCCTAGATTCATGTTGACGATAGTGTTTACGCACACCTGCCATGGTAATATTGTTGTTACGAAGATAGAAAACAGAAAAATATGAAACTTGGGTAGCTATTACTTGACGTATATGTTTATATATTCCTAATAAATATTCCTTAAACAGTTGTTTTGTGTTATTTTTATGTCATTCTAACTGTGTACAAAAATATGTTAATAAGCTTTGTATCAAAAATATTCTAGTTATGAGCACTCACTAGTGCTTTGTGTGTTCTCGTGCTATATATATAGCACAGACTGACAGTTTCTGCTGGTCACAGCTGTTTTGACTTCAAGTAGGAAATCGAACTGGCATTAATACACATGTTACTAAAAGAATTTGCAATTGATGTCTTAGGAATCCCATATACTGGATGTGAATCGAATAGTCTTAAGGCTAATGGGATCACTGAAAAACGTTTCTCACGGCTTTTATCGAATTCTTTTGGAATCATTCGTAATTTTTATCCTCAGCAATCTATTGTCTTACTGACTTAGAAGTTTTGCAATCACAACTAATATACTGCTTTATATCAATGTTCGGTTAAGTTAAAAAACACCAAGCTGTTATGATTACTTAAGTCTGTTACCACTCTTGGGGCATAGACCGTCGACCAGGAATCTCCAACCAATTCTTTGTTGAACTCCTTTCCAGTTGTTGCTTTAAATGCCTTTCTCTGATTCCCGACTCCATGTGTTTCTTTGTCTGCTTTTTTTCCTTTTGGCCCGAGGATTCCAACTTAGGGCTTACTTTGTGATGCAGTTCGATAGTATCCGTTAAGTATGATCTATTGAGTTTCAGTATACTTTCCTAATTTCCTCGTTAGCTGGATATTGCTTTGTTTAATGCTATAGAAATTTATTGTTGACGGCATTTGGTCAACAGATCTGGAATGTCTTGCATAAACATCTGTTTACAGATACTTGTAAATTTTTGATGCTCCAGATCCATATAATAAAACCTTCTTAACGTTTATATTGAAAGTTCTATCTTGTGTTGCCTGACAGTTCTTTTGCGTTCATGATATTCTCCAATTGTAGGGATATTACCCTTGCTTTCCCAATCCATCCCTTCACATATGGATCAGATCCTCCTTGCTTATCAACGATTTAAGTGTGGTATATACACTCGTTTTGTTGCTCTTGGACCTCAGTGATTGTTTTCTCTTCTCTCTTGACTGACCGCTCTGGTTTACCGTGTTTGCGTGCTAGCCTCTTTGTTGTTATATATTCCTCACATATTCCCTTCTCTTACAGCTTGTTTTACTGTTGTTCCCAGGTCTTCGACACATTTCCGCTTGTCTGCCCTGATACTTTTCTCTACTTGTTTGTTTACTACTCTCTATTCGGTATGTGCTCCGAATTTTTCTTCTCTATTTCGGCTGTTTTTGTCTGCTTTCTTGTTTTTCTCATCTTGAATCTTGTTCAAGGTATCACTGGAGATCCACTCCTAATGTTAGTGCTTCTTGGAGCCCAGCACCACCTAGCATAGCATGTTGAAGCAATTGGTTCTTTAATCTCTTTCCAGTTATCCTCCATAGTGGTTTCCCTCTTCTCTGAGTAGGTCTTGTAAGGCTTAGAACTTATTGTTGAGAGCTACCGCGCGTTGACTAAGTTTTTCAACATCTCTGTGGGAAGCTGTATTAAACCTTTATAGCGCTACTTGCTCGATTGTGTAATGCTTTCTTCACTTCAGTTTCAGCTTGGCACCCACCAGGTGGTGAATGGAAGCTATATCATCTTATCTCTTTGTTTTTACGTTTTCCATGGACCTCAATTAAGTCTTTTTTAGGAAGTTCACTACGACGGACTACAGCCTCTCATAAAAATGATCTTTATCCTCTCTGCTGTTCTCATTGCTGAGCATGTTGCACTGGATGGCAATTAATGTAGAGTCTACCTAACATGTTTTGAAGGATCCTTTGATGATCCTGGAGGTGTGAATTTCCCACTCTACGACCGTTTTCCGGGCTTCTTTAGTGAGTATCTGTACAACTCCTTGTGTGTGTATGTGGGGGGGGGGGCATTTTCTTCTTAGTGACCAGAATGAAACAAAATCTTCACCGAGTCTAGTCGTTTCTGTCTAGCTTTTGTCCAATGGGTTTTACTTATTCCAAGCGGAGCAAGGTTGTATCTTCTATCCGCCAGTATCTTATTTCGTCAGAACATTCCATGTACATATATTATTCGTCGCTTTGATCGTCAGAAAGGGCTTCGCTTTCGTTACCCCCAAAGGACCTCAACTCACCATGAAGTATCACAAATCTTCTATGTAAAGATCCTTCAACTCCCTGGATAGATTTTAGATGGTTTAAATCATTTTTTTTATTTGCATTTTTCCAAAAATGTTCTTTCACAGAATAGAGTTGCTAACCCCATGTCCAACATGAGCTTGGGACTCTCAGCGAGTTATTTTGTGATTACTTTCAAATAAGTAGATTTGATTAATGTAGAAATTGTACTGGATAGTATGACATAAGGATATGACCTAAAGTATGTGAAGGAGTTCGAGCGGTTTTTAAATTACCCTGAGAATGTTGAATTCTATTCTAGCCAACCAGAAGACAGGTTATAAAAATGATTGGTTTCTGATAAAAATAATGATAGAAAAAGAAAAATTAAAATGTATTTGTACTTTAATATAACTTATGGATCGTTCAAAGCTATTATCAGTTTCTCAGGTTCGAAAACAAAGAAACCGTTACATAAATATTCTAGAATACAGTCTCTCACAGGTTTCTTTATGCTGCCGAGAGACACGTTTCAATTGTTTTTATAGACTAACTCTAACTAGCATCATTTCCTCACTGGAATCACGCAAAATTGTCTCACGATATCTCTTTCCTATTAAGCACGTCGTTACATTTGTGGGAATCAACAAGTACACGAACTATGATAAGCTTGCCTATTCAGACTGTGTTGTGACCTTGAAACGTCATTTTGGTACCTCATTGTCTCTTTCCCATACTTTGACCGAACCGCAATAAGCTTCTGGTGGTGATATAAAAATAATTTTCTGGATTCAGATTATATAACCGAAATATTTGTCAGCACTTTTTGTTTCACTCAGTCATATAAACAACTCCGCATACATTGAACTATATAAATAAGTTACAGAATATCTATTCTGTTTGGATCTAGGCAGTCAAATATTGTTGGTAAATTCCACATTGAAATATGTTGTAACTTTCACATGTTGTGAAGTAAGATATATATATATATATATATATATATATATATATATATGACTTCAAGACTCAAAGTCAGTAACTTATATTGTAGATAGAGTTTGCAGCACTATGTCGTATTTTTAACACTCCTAACTCTTTAAATTTAAATTTCTCTGTTTACTATTACACACATATATTTATATTCCATCACCATAATCATTTATTATGTTATCTAGGCAAATTATCCACCCTTCCACGAAGATATCGCAGTAAAGTTTACACAAATAAAAGTATTTTACACGAAGCTTTTCTTACTTCTCAAATTAGTATGTGTAAATTTTATCATCGATGAGTCTATTTGAAATGAGGTATCACAGAACTTCATGTCTTCGTAATCATCGTTATAAATTGCACTTAAAAATAATGATGATAATAATCATTCTTATATATGTTGCTTTTCATATCAACACTAGGTTTCCGCACTGCTTCAGGCACATTTAGTAGAAGCTGTTTTCTTTGCTCATTTGCTGCTGGTATTAAATGTCAGCTTATGTTTTCTATGAATGTGTATAGTTCATGTGTGTGTGTGTGTACGTATATATGTATGTACAGACTTTTAAATACTTTTTTTTGGAAAATAAATGTACCTACATATTATTAGAGATAATCTCTTTCATATTTTAGTTTATCTGTGGTTTATTTTAATTTTAGGAAATTCAAATCAACTAAATTCCGCAAGATCATTGGAATCAAAAGATGAAACTAACAATGCAACTTTCAATTTGTCGTCCTTTGATGCCCTATTCACAGTACAAGAAACCAATACAAAAGATATTCCGTCAAATAATAGTAAAGATTCTGTTCAGAAAGACTATACTTCAGATTTTAAATTTGGTTTTAAAGATTCTGTTAGTTGTAATAGTTTAGTAGATACTTTACAAAGAGGTTCATCATCTGTAATGGGTGTTAATTTATCACCTGTAAAGAACGATGATGGTGGTGGTAGCTTAGTTCGACGATGTTCCAGTACAGCACCTACTTCAACAGATAATGAATCAATTGATCAGTCTAATTGGGTATGTGTATATCATTTGCTTAGAGTATCTACTTTATTGTTCATCATTTATAATCACTTGGCTGTTCTCATTTTAATTTAATCACTAGTTTTTCCTCGCTGTATGCCTAATTTCAAACTTATTAACTTTTTATGTTCTGTCGACTAAATACTCTAACAGTAACTCAACAAATCCAATGTTATGGGATAAGTTAAGAGAAACATCAAGGATTCATCGTGGAGGTTATACATGAAAGGAGACAGCTCTTTTTGTGTGAAACAAGCGCTTCAGTCAAAGGTATATGAAGTTTATCAAATCAACATTAATAGTTTCAGTGTTTTAGCCTAGTTGGTGGGTCGTAAGTTGGGGCTTCACTTACCCACTAACGTCTGAGAACTTAGATAGTTTTATCATCTGTAATTCGATATATCTTATAATCTAGTAGTTATTGTAAATATCCATCCAATTGTGTATTACATTCAAACAACTTTCATTTGACCGGGACCCAGGTGTCAGTAGGTACATGATTTAACGTCTTTAGCAAACGTTTTCTCAATCTCTTCAGAATGTGAAATAGCCTTTTGATGTGAAGAAATCGTATTGCATTGGTAGAATCAATTATACTTGGTGAATTCATCTATCAGAATCTATTCACCTAATGAAAGTCGACTAAACCTGTGTTCTAGTTAACGGTATTCAAAAATGTGTGATATGCATCCAAAAAGCACGTTGTCTAACAAGTAATTCTTTTTTGCCAAGTTCGTTAGATGGAAAGCATTTATTAAATACAATCTGAGAATTCAAAGTAATTAAGGATAAATTCACTTAGACTGTATACTTGTGTATTGAGAAATCCATCTGGAGTTATAAAAATTCAACATCTGTGATGTGTGGGTGAGAATGATAATGATTGGTTGTTTGCTTAGTCAGACATGTAGATAGTCTGACAGGTGTCAGATGAGTTATATGTTCCCTTATCCTTATTATTGTTAGGACGGACTTATTATTGATTGTTCATTGTTGTTGGATTGTATCGGGTTTTGGTGTGGATATATATTTACGTTGTGGTCAGGCTAATCACGTGTTCTTGATCTAAGTTGTGTTGAAGTACTGTAGAATAGACACTGGGATGGAATCTAGTGTAGATATTCGTCTAAGGTAAAAGTGGAAACCCAACCGTTATAACATTAGACAAAGTAAAACCGAGAGTTATAACAATATGTGTTCGATTAGCCACTGAATATATTTTATGTCATTTCCTCAGTCAAACTCATTTAGAAATGGCAAATGAATTACTAGGTATTGTTGTGTTAATATAATGACCGTATTGTCTATGAGCAAACGTTCCGTTCAGAAGTCCACTACAACAAATGTATTGTAATGGTTAAAGTTTGTACATTTGAAATCTAAAGATACACGTTACTAGCCCTATAACCCACACTTGAATTTCACAATCGTAGATGGCGTTTGAAACATATTCAACTGAAACAAGCAAATCCTTCAGTCCTTCTGTATCTTGGTCATATTTTAACGCCAATATACATGGTACTGTAGTTGGTAAAGAAGCTCGACCTATTCCTGAACCTCCAACACGCCTTCATAATCATCCGAATAATAGTTCTACTATTGAACAAAGTATTACATCTTCTCCTTCTACCCACTCAATTAATTTGCCAAATAATTCAATTTGCTTAGCTGCTGCATTTACAGAGACATGGCATGCCCGGTTTTTTAATGGTGGTGGCAGCTCTTTTTCAACCGCAGCCTCTACTGGTCAACCTCCTATTCATGCAATCTATGGTAGTTTAACACTTGCATTTCCACGTGCGGATATGGAACAAAGATTATTCAATAAATTACTTATTCCCCCTCTTGTGTTTAGAATTACAAATGCTGAAAGATTAAAAGATCTACAACCTAAACTTTCTGGCTCGTCAATCAGGTAAATCATATTGCTCATTTATTTCAGATTATTTTGAAATATTACAGTTATTATGTTTCTATTTTCCAAGCTCTTTATAAAGGTTCATTTTCCCGGTTAACTTGTAATTGGTGAAGCATGTAAACCTGTTTATTGATGAATAGATTGTCGTGATAAAACAGTAAAATGCAATGTCTAATCTAACTTCTTGATCTCGAAGCATCTTTGAAGAGCTTCCATATTTCCAGTTTTTCGCTTAATAGATCTACCAAGGTGGTCTGTGATCTGAAAATACTAATGCGGTGCATGTTACTTATGCTGACAGATATCAGTAGTACACAGTATCAATCGGAAGTGGAAGATTGGATTGAAAGGAACAGGAAGAAGGACAGAGGGCAATCAGAGGAACAACAGAATCGAAAGAATCATGAAGTATGTAAAGGACAACTGATGGAAGACGTGCAAATGATGTATTTAATGTACAATTTGCATACTTTACGAAGGCACTCTGTAATTGGTTTTCCCTATCTGTGTTCCGATTCATCACACTATTTTGAAAATAATTTTCATCAATAGCTACTAATATCAGCTGACAAACTAGCGAGAATCAAAATGTCATGGTTTTCAGTTTAATTCCGAGTCGGATTGTTGATTTACATTATCATAGAGTTCTGAATTAGGATGAAAAAGCCTTTCTTGGCTCTTAATGATTATTCGATTTATCTCGCCATTTTATGATAAAAATTACCTTTAATGTTTTTTTTATTTTCCAAATCTTGTCTATAGTTACCTACAATCCAATTACTGGTAATATATTTCAAGTAGTTAGTAGCTAATAGTTAAATCAATAAAATGTCTCAAGCAAATTAGTGATGGATTTGAATTTGATTATCATAAGACAGATATTTATAGATCATGATTACTAGATTAATTAGTGCAAATCATTTAAGAGATATTAAGTGTCATTAAGAATCATATCACTACCTATCACTTAATTGATTTATTCATTTATTTCTCAAGTATCATATCAAGATCTATTTTGTGAGTATTTTTAATTCATTTATATAATTTCATTGGTATGTTTTTGTTTTTCTGTTAGTTTATTTTCTGAAAGTACAACTCCTACTACTGATACGTCTCAACCAATTTTATTGGAGAATTTGACAGATAACAATGCAACACAAGTAATCAATAGTGGTAATAATAATAGTTCAGATTATATGCTTACTATTCCTGGTGATGTTCTTTCACGTTATCTTGCTCCATTGATAATTAATTATTCAGATGAAAACTCATTTTTTTGTAGTGATACATCTGATAAATTAAATACTTCTTTTACATCTTCTAATACGCCTACATATGTTAAATTGGATGTATTAACTTATACAGTTGATGTAAATGCCGACGCTAAAGGTTACTATTGTAGTCTTACACCTCCAATACATTTATGTACTTACTGGCGTTGTGAAGCATTAACCACAGATTTTCGTTTGGATTATACAGCACAATGGCCTACACCAACTGCTGCTAAGGAGTACGTTCTTTCTGATTGATATTTTTGATGGTTTGTTTTACACATAATTGATCCCGCCAAATATACGCCGAATTATTTTTGACTTTTGTTCCTTCAGTGATGAGGTATGGCAACTTGGGTCGATGCATGTATTTGCCTGGTCCTACGTTGTAACTGACTGACTGACCTTCAGTGATGAAGACTGACCATTCTGCTTTCTGTTTTCAACTCAAGCTAATCCGAAAATCAGATTTATTGAAAAGACTAAAGAAGATAAATGTGTGTATAATGTCTTTGAAAAAGTCCAAAAGGTTATTATATTTAAAAAAGTGAAGGTACTGGTTTCATGGCCACATAAAAAGTGAAAGAATTCTTCTGTGAAAAATTGGCAGACCAAATCAAAAGTTCAGTTTTTTTTAATGTCGAGCATTAAAAACGAATTTCATGCGCCTAACAACTAACAATAACCAGTCAAAGTACTAATCTCTAAAATAATTTGAATGCAGGCTATCTTACAGAGAATATTTAAAACCCAACAACAGTTATGTTTTTTTCACGTCCAGAAAAAGCTTTTCCCATTCCTTAAGTTAGCCTGCAGATTATCTAAAATTATAGCTTCTATTGTAATTATTATTAGTATTACTGTCAAATACTGTAGCATGGACTTCAATACATCGCTAACTAAAAATCGACGCCAGTCCAAAAATAATCAGTTACTGAATATTATTACAAGTGGATTTCCTTGTTTTAAAACGAGTTGTGGTTTGATAAATCTCATTTATCAGTTTGAATATTGTAACAATAAGCTTAGCAGAATAATGTGAATCCATTTATACCTTGGATTCTTTTATGCTCTTTGCAACGTAGGAACGATGGTTATACTTATTTTAAACCAATGTGTATATTTTATATCATATCAGTGACGAATTGTGAGAAGACTATAGATACAGAAGAACTATTGAAAATCTCATGGATATTCAAACGCCAACTACTGTGAAAGATCTTGAGAGAAAGTTCTAAAATACGCACCGACGACTTTCTAAAAAATGTAAAACGAATATGAAGAGTTACGTATTGTTAATTTTAAGAAGGGATAATTTAACAGGGTCCCCCAAATGCCCTGGTACCGCCGAGAGTGAGGAGAGTCCGCTCTCCCTCTCGAAATGCTCTCACATGGCCACGCGTACATAGCCTCTGCCAGGGAAGCCCTACTCACTACCTTCTCGTGGCGGGGGTGTTGTTTACGAAAATGAGAGGACGAAAAGCGAATGTCCGGCGCTTTAACCGGATCCCAAACCAATGGTGCACATGGGCTCCAGTATCCTGCGGGAACAAATGGCGTATGAATCAATCGTTGGTCACCGGCTACCATGGGACTGCATCTCCTTACGATGCTCCACTGCCTTGTGGGTCAGACGTTCAGGTCGAAGGCTCGGGGTGTGGCCCCCTAAGAAAACCACCTGTCTCGGTTTGGGCGCCCGAGCAGTATCACAGCCCTCACACATATCAAATGAGATTTGTGTGGCGCATATGTATTTGGTGCCTCCTTATACCAATATCTATGTGTTAAAATAAAAATAAAATTAAAAAAATAACTTACTATTGAGAGGATAAAATAAGATGTTGCTCAACTAAATTTTGGAAACCGAAGTCCTCACAACATTGTGAGACTGGTAAAAGCGTTTAGCTCTTAGAATCTTCACTTTAGGTAACATGTAAATATCCAATTATAAGGAAATTTTCCATAATGCTTCCATATTTACTGCCTTTTGACTTGTCATCATCAATATGATATAAGGTATGTACATTGCGGCATAAATAATTTTTATTATTATTTAAATAGGTGGTCTGGAAAGAGTGTAGAATTTTCATACTTTTTAAATTACGAACTGAACTGGTTGAAATTAGACATTAAAGCTATAGGTTCTAAGCAGCTTAAGAGAATCCACAAAATAGACGAATTCATGTAATTCTGCTGCAATGGCTGAGGCACCATTCTATTTTTCCTGAATAAACAGTTTTTCAGAACTGCTAACTGGAATAACCATAATGGTAACACATAACGTTTGGGTTGATTTTTCTTAAAGTTAAATTCCCATTATTTCTTTCTAATAATTTCTTTTTGGAGTTGATTTGTATGAAATGAATTCAGTCAATTTTATTTGTCAGAGATTTAAAGTTTCCAAAATATTATTGATGACAGGTCTCTTCATTTATATATATATATATATATATATATATATATATATATATATATATATATATATTACAAATCGAAAATTCCAGAAGTAGTAGTAATTTCAAACTGTAGACAGAAATAGGTCAGTGAGATAAAACTTAATTCCATATAGTTTTTGGCCAAATGTAATGTGTCATTCCACTGTCTAGTATATCCTGATTTCGTTACTTTACTAAACACTCTCCGAAGCAAACAACACTTGTTCCAACAACCCGAGTGTTGAACATATAGTAGTAAGAATATTGGAGTTTATATAAGATTTACATGAATTCTTAGCATCTCGATTCGTTCACCAGCGCTGATTGATTGAAAATGAACTAATCAGGGTGTTCCAATTCTAGCCTAATTAGTTCATTCAATAGTCAGAACTTTATTCTACACTAACAGAAAAGATATCCAGTTGGAAAAAGTGTGACAAGGTACTTCCTTGTAAAATGTTTTACTTGCATACTCACCCACTTTACTCATTTTCAATAATAACTCATTAACTTGTTTTTACTATAAATTCATTTTGTTCGGATCATGTATTATGTTATAAATGAACAGATTCATTGTGATTCTGTTTTCAATTTTATGGCAAAATTGGATTTCATCAAATCAAGTATAAACATTTATTATTTTGATTTGAATATAATCATTCAATATAAAATTTATCCGATGTTGACTTATTGATGTTATCCGCCTACTACTATTATTACACTACTATTCATTATAATCATCAATTATATTCTTTCTACAGATATTTCACTTGATATAATCTTAGTTAATTAATTAATAATAATAATTTCCTTATTAGATCTGTGAAAAATACTGGAGATTTGCGAATAAATCTCATGATTGATGGAACTGTTAGCCATATGCAAAGTCTTCCAGTTGGTACATGGCTCCCAGAAGTTAGTCATGCTACATGGCGTATCCCACTTCACAATGCTAATATTGATCGTGACTTATCAAGGGATAATACTAGTAATAATGCACATCGATCCCAATTCACTTCGAAATTTGATGCAACTGGTACTGTTCGAGCGAAATTCACATTAACAAACGGTCCAGGAAAGCCACAACCTGTTAGTTTACAATTCTATCGTGAAGGCTCCTTAGCTAGTGGTGTACAATTATTTGTTATTTCATCTGATTATCATATGAATTTATGTAAATATCGTTTGATTGGTGATCGGTATATATGTGATCCACCAACAAATGTGAATCGTTTTCATTCAAATTCAACACTTCAATTAGAACAAAATAACAATAATATAAAAGAAAGATTTAATTCTCTAGTTGTTAATGAAAACAGGAACGTTAAAAATAAAAATGATAGTGTAAATGAGAATAAAATAAATTCAACTAATTTATCTGCAATCTCTGATACACTTAAATTTAGTCATTTACAGTAAAAGTGATTTGTGATTTTTTTTGTGCCTTCAATGCGATTAAACAAATCATCTCGGTTTAGTATTATTTTTTTTTAATCCATCAATTAAATATGCATAATTTCCTTTGAAAATTGATTATAATTTGATTCAATGAACTCTTGTGCCAACTAATTCTCTTGTTATTATTGTCACATTAACTAACTGATATTGCAAATACACCATATATATCGTTTTACGCCTGATTAACTAGTTATATATATATATATATATATATATATATATATATATATAAATCCTTCCTTCTCTTTCTGTTCGGATTCATTTACTCTAAATGATTATTTTGAGAACATTTAAAGTAAATATGTAAATTTCGGTAATTTCTCATCGAGTTTTACAATTACAAAATAAAAATATATGAGTTCGATTGTACTGAATAGAATTCTGTGTGAAACATGTACTTTTATTATTCTGTTTTATTCTCATTACCATCAGTTGTGTTTTACACACACACTTGTTCATATTATTAATAATTCGCTCATTCTATCATTCTTTTACACAAATTTTTAACAAGCGAGATCTGAATGACACTTGCATGACTTTCATATATTGGTTATCACCATATTGTATCATTTAATTCATATGTGCCTATAATTATTCAACTAACCATGATGGTTCGAATGCTGTGCTGAATAAATATTTTTATTTTTGTAAATTGTAAAGTTTAATGAGAAATCACTGATGTTTATATATCTGCTCAAATGATTTTCTCAATTTATATTGATGGGGATCGCTTAGCAGTATTACATCATCGATAAAAACATCAATCAACTGTCAATCTATCATTACTGACGACTTAATAATTTGTATTGATTATTCCAGTGTATATTGAATCCCTCTAGTATGTTCTGGTTTAAATCTTCACTACAATTAATTCTTTTCATCAGAATAATTATCTTTATTAAAGGGAGACAGAGAGGTGGAAGTTGATACTTTTCGTCTCTACTGCTTATTTAATCTTTCCTATGGAATGCTTTCTCCTGTACTTGTCCAAATGGTACCTACTACCTACGTGTTTTTGAATAATTTTTTATCTGTGTCAGTATTACTTACTCATGTGTACTGATAATCGATGAGATATTGATTGTTTATTTCCTTAACACTAACATACAGATAATTGGATTCTGCATTGTACCTTTTCATTTACCTGATTTTATCACCTACTATCCTCCCAACAAATTGTAAATTTAATACTGACTTCTCTTCCATTTCAATTATTATTACTATTAATCTTAACAATTTGTGCTGAGAAAGCATGGAATAATGATTAAGTTCGATTCATTTATTCTTCGTCCATTTTCATCGAATTTTTCTGCCTTTCTTCTTGCACTGAGATGAATAACCATATAGTCATTTAATTCGCGTGTTAAAAAATTTCTCTCTCTGTCTTTAAGTATTTAACTTCGAATAATGTATATTATTGATTCTTAGTTGTGTTGTCAATTCTGGTAGTCAGATTTTAATGATGATAACTATCACTATAATCAAATTAATAAATTGTTAATTGATGAGTAGACTGTAATGTTATGTCTTTATTACTGCAAATAATAATTACTTACTGTATGCGTGTCGATAACATAGTATAAGCTTGTGTATATTTAGCTTTTCTGGCCATCAGTGACTATCTTGCTACGTATCCAAACTAAAATTTTCAGAGCTAGATTCATATTTGCGACCCAATCATACTAAATATCAAATGCTCTAACCAACAAACTATTGATATTTCTATAACTGGAACATACAGTCAATATTTTACTAAAGGTGTTCATCAGTTATGTAAAACGAATTTACCAACTTACTACCGAACATTATGGAAGCAAACATAAGATATAAATCCAACTCAAAGAGTAGAGATAGTAGGTACAGTGATGATGGTCTAGTCCTTTTCAAAGTTTGATTGTCAGTCTTTAGCATTACAATCGGTATTTTCATCTTACAATTTATGCTTTCCAAGTAAGCATAACAGTAATACTATCAAACTGGTTCACATTGTAACTTAATTTTATGTTGATAATCCCACTTACCATACAAAGGTTCATGTAATCAGCAATGAACCGCATTGTTTGAAGGTTAGTAATAATGCCCTGGCTTCTTGATCGAAAAAGGTACAAAGACCTTCAACCATTAAAATACTGCTTAACATCTATGTACCCATTCTAATGTTCACAAAATAATATTTGTTGGTCTTTTATTATTCAATACAGATTTGCATTTGGTTATACCCATATGAATATAATTTTTTAACTGAAGAAAAAAGTTATTTGTTATGAAGAGGGACAACGGCATTTCTACCTGTTACTTATAACAAGAACCCATTTTACATGTGGTATTATTCTACTCTAACATTTTTTCTGTCCATTTATATCATTCCAATCTACTTCTTGGATCTATTAAAGTCTATCTTCTTTTTTATACCTATCTACATTTTTATAATATTTTCTATCACTTGTGATTTATTTTCAATGTTTCTGCTATTTTATTCAAACCATAAATAATATGTTCATTTTAAAAAGTAGAACATCAGTTGATTCGCTTTATCAAATGCATCGAACGTTTTTAGCAACATAGTTCTGTCAATTATATTAGTAACTACCTGTTTTTTTTTCTTTTTCCGTACTTTTAGTTTAAACAAAATATGTGGTAAGATTCATTTAAATAAAAATGAATTACAATATAGCAATCATTTTTCATCTGAAATTTTTTATTTTCAAAATGATTATTATTTACTACATAAAATAACAAACTGATAAGAACTAAGTATCTAACTTTAAAATTCCATTCTGTTATTGTATCACTTTATAATTTGGCTTCATTATAAAATGATAATTTACAAAAGATTTTTGTTTGAATTTATTTCTTGAAAATAAAAAATCTCAATAAACTAAAATAACCGGCACATTTTATAAGATAAAATAATAACAAGGATTTAGTCTTTTAAGAGAATGATGCATACACATAGACAAAGTAAAATTCAATCATAATTATTTATAGAATGGAAAACAAAATCAAAGGTGTTTCTACCAAATGTAATCTGAACCACTGTCGATATCAATGCTACAAGATAAAAAAATGAAATGGATAAAAATGTCTTGATTCAATGTTGGCACAAATTTAATATTGATCAAAAAGTGTTAGATTTGTATATTTAATGTGATATATATGACGAAAAGTTGACTGATTTCGCCTGTGGAGCAATAGCTTATTTGATAAAATACTCGACTTTCAACTACCAAGTCACGAGTTCGAGCCCTGCTCGATGTAGTTCGAACCAGGCGGTTGAGTAGTATCACCAGCAGTCTCACAAAGTATATTTCGAAGCTGATTATACGAACTCGCGCTTAACAAAATAGGTCACATCAACTAAATTTATAATATGCAACTTATTATTCCTATGAAATTTTTACTGTCTTTCCAGTAAGTTGTACTAAAGTTCTATTTTGTGTCTATTTAAATTCATGAGGAAGTACATTTCAACTAAGTCTAGAACAGAGTAAAAAGAGCCATGTGAATAATTCTTTGTTCAGTGGTAACTTATCATTGAGATAATTTTAATGAAGGCCCAATTTAAGATGTCATAACTTGTACAACTAACCAATCAAGAAGTAAGACAATAACATGCTATTGACATTATGACTATAGTGTACTGATATTACGAATTGAATAAGGTTTAGAGCGTTTTCTATTTTGAGATCGATTGTAAGATTCTTTTAATAAAAAACTAAATCTACGCAAACTGAATAGACTAAACGACTAATATGCAACACTTAGACGGTAATCTCCCGGTCAAAGAAATCAAGAGAAATTAGGAACTCAGAAAGAAGCTTGATATTCAGAGAGGTCAAAACATAACACAGAAAACAAAGGTGATCTTATATCGCAATAAAAATTTCAAACTAAAAACAAGGATAACCAATCAGAAAACATCAATGGTCAGTGTGGAAATATGAATAGAGAAATTGTTAACGCAGACTACCTTATATATTTGAACTATCATTTATCAAAAATAAGAAAATGAAATGATTTACGACCATCATAATACATTGTGAATCATTAGGACGTGATGCAGTAGTCTAAAGATAATGCGCTTGCCTTTGAGATCTGGGTTCAGTCCTATTCACTATCAGACTGAAGTAAAATAACCGTCCGATTATCCGGAATTACAGTTTTTCTTAATCTGATGGGAATTCTGTACTATAACTATTGTGATAAGAAAATCAGTTTACAGAGGAAACCGAAAGACAGTGATACGTGAACATATAAAATATTTTTAAAAAAATGGTAATCATGAAAAGCGATAGCTATCAGAGTGAACACATACTATAAAATTAACCATTGAGTCAAGCAAAACAAAATGGTCTTATCAATAAAAAAAGTAAGTAGACCAATTATGTCGCTCTCATTTAAAGAATGACAACCACGAATTCTTGGCTTAAACAGAACTAAAGACTTACCTGGTATCTTGAAAGGACATGAATAGGATTTTTGTTTATCAATTAAATAACTATTCCTAGTACCTATTGATTTCCAGTATATTGCCTGTAAAATATATTTTCTTTTCCCATAATAGTTTGTATATAAGAAAACTGACAATATGTATTATGTCATAGTTAAGAGTATGGGAAAATCAATATTGATGCCAAAAAGTAGTATGAAAAAACATAAAATATTGTTTTCTTTTCAAACCCCAAATGTTTCAAATGTATATTTATATATATTTCAAAATCTTGTTTAGGAAAATAACTGTATAACAGGCCCTAGCATACTGTATTGTCAGTATGAGTAATACATGAAACTGTCATTATCACTACATCCATACCTTAAGTATCACATAATGTAGATTGTATAATACATAATGTTTACAAGAAACCATTGTCAAATTACTGCACAATCTAAATTCCTCAAAAAGATTAATTGTATTATATACAATATAACTGTTACTTATGTAGATGTTAAATGGGTTACCTATCAAGTGTTTTTTGATAAAGTAGACGCGTTTTCAATTTTCTAGGGAGTTTTGGAGGTAAAAGCATTTTTTAAAATAATGAGACGATTTTCTGCCCGATGAATGACATTATATACAAAACATGTTCAGAACTCTTGTTTTATTATTCCCTAATATCTAAGATCAAGTATGGTGTAGCAAAATAGTGAGATACTTTGTTGAAATGTCATTATGATAAACCTCATAGGTTTAGTTAAGTAGTCAATGAAGATAAAATTATACACGTAAGAGTAATTTGCTGCACAATAACTAACTAAACTCCATTGTGTACAGGATACATACTATTGTATCCTGAACGATACTTTTAGAAAGCAAACTTAAGTTTATTCTACATTAGAAATTGACATAAAAAGCATTTTAAGTGTATGGGAACTGAAAAATTCCTCCTCCTTAGTTTGAAACTCTGCAATAAAGGGCACTCATAATACCGGACCGGTTCGAACTCAGAACCTTCGGCTTTTAGATCACTTCTGAGAATGAACTGCGATCGTGCTGTGATAAATCGACTATAATGAAAGATCCAAACCGTTAGATTCCCACTCAGTTATCTATAAACATTACGATCACCGTAAGGCCCACAAGCCTAGGATTCCATCCAAACGTTTGTTGTAAGTTTGTATCTCTGGAAAATTACATACTAAGGTATAGCTATTTTCCAGTACTGATGCCAGTTCAGGGTGAAAACAGTAATAGTTCAATAAAGTGTAAATTGTTGTATATCATAAAAATACACCAAATAAAACTGGAAACGTTTACATAATCGTAGAAATGATCAAGTTTCTGAGGCTTAAATTATTGATTAGTTACTTTGATAGTTTGATCTACAATCGTAATGATAATAATCAAACGTTTTTAATTATAATTTATTATCGCTTCGCATGAAATTTGATATTATTTCTTTGCTTACTCATTTGGAATTAATTCATCTTTGTTGGAATTTCCTGGTGTAAAATGACACTTGATTTTACCATTATTCAAACTGATAATATCTGATTCACTAGAACTAAAATGATGCTTTAAAATGGAGAACAATTTAAAAAAAGTAGAAATAAGATAATAATTCAACATAATTGATAGATAATCATAGTTATTATACAGTAAGTAATTAATAAAATAAGTATGATTTTTTCAATTTGGTTATAATTAACAATGTACAATGAACTAGCTGGAAATCAAATCGATTTACATACAGTAAATCATTGCTATTGTTTTCGAGACATAAATATGGTTTATATTTCAAATAGACAAAATACACAATTATTGAATAAACTAAAATTATGGTGTCTGTACGAATGTCAATAAAAATTTTACCACAAAAAATATAAAAGATGTAATTATGTGTAAATTAAAATGAATTGTTGACGATACCCAACTTAAAATCTTAAGTCATCTATTTTCCAACTATGCAAATATTTCAATATATATTTATGCTTTCAACTTGTTTTAATTAATTAATCAAATAAGTTAATTGTGTAATCAAGTGGAGCACTTGTATAAACTAGTGACAACTTATCTAGATGTTAATTACCAGACCATTCAAACGGAACAATCCCAACGTTTTGTATATTTTTCGTCTTACATATTCTGTGGAGAAACGAGAGGTAATCATCATTAAATATAGAAATCAATAAATTATACTCAGAGTTATGTTTAGGATGTATTTTTACTAATTTTCACCTTATTTATTAGTGTCCCAAAGTTACCCTAATTTGGAAGAAGTAGTCCGACGAGGGTTGGGTAGCAGTGTCCTGAACTAACAACTTGGAACTTCAATAAATATCTTCAGAAAGTTTGTAAGTCTATTGGATATTTAAACACCAACACTGTACCCATTATGTGTTAACTTTGTGATTATGGAGAGAAGACAATTTTGATTTGCCTTCATGTCCAATGCTAGCTGGATATATAAGTGTGAAGTTTTTACATCATTATCGTTCGTGCTTTACTTTTGATAAAGATATGTTATTAAAAGGTCAATTGTCATAACCAATATCTAGTAAAAATAGGGGAAAAGGACCATTTCCACTCACGCCATTCTCGAACCATAAGGGTTTTTCTTTTAAACCAGGTGAATGATATCCATTTGTTATCTTAGTTCCGTTCACTGCTTGATTACATGTAGTAGACACCGGTGATTTAGAACTAGTATTTAAACTAAGCTTTAAATATTTTTCCATTAAACCATTACAATCAGTTTGTTTTGTTGTTGTATAGCGTGATGTTGGTGAGATATTCTCATTGGATATAGGTTTGTTCTGATCATCATTACCCAGCGAACACTGTTTCAGTAAACCTACTGAAGTCAGAAAACAGAGAATATTTTTTCATTAGGTGTATATAATCAAAGTGACATTCAAAAAACAATTGAGTATGATTTGTGAGTTGCTATTTCAATAGATACACAAGATTGTTGATATTTTTGTAACACTAACAACTGAATCGTAACCCGAGTTATGTTTACCCAGCTGCTTAGTTTTCATTGGATTTCATCGGTCAGGTTCCACTGTTTACAATAGTCTAAGCATTACAGAATGCTGTGCACTATGTTTTGTTTAGTATTTCCCTCTTTGACAAGACTGAAGCTCCCGGGTTCGAATCCCACGTGCGAAACCATAGGTGCACACTATTGATGAATCCCATACTCCGACGAAACGGTTGTCCAGTGCTCCCAGGTCTCAGTGGTGGTCTAGCTTAGATAACCTCGCGAACTCAACTATTAAAATATGGTTTACATGTATAATTACTGAAGTACTATTCAAAAGACAAGATTTGGATGTCTACTGATGACATATGAAGTATATCAAAAGTAAGGAATTATTGTGTTTTTCAAATAAGTGACCGAACGATAGTGATGACAAAACACGTTATCAGATCAATACCGTAAGTTTTTCGTTTTATAAACAGATACATTACTAAATACTTAACATTGTAAAGAAGATAATCATAAAATATATGATGTTCCTTTTTTTCAATAAAAAATCTTATAACCAGTTTTAAATCCGTGATATACTTTCTTAACAAATATTACAATAGATAGTATGCATAAACATACATTTAAATGTTAAACAATTATTGGACGATAATTAAATAGTAAACTAGATTCCATTAAATTTAAAAACAACTTAACCAAAATGTACAAGTACAATACAATACTTTTGCATTTTATTTAAAACAGAAAACAAGCAGAGTTTTAGAATGATTTAGTTCTCCATCATAAGTATCAAATAATTAATTGATTGTAGAGTTTATGTCAATGATTAGTTTAGAAAGAAAAATAATTCTATGATAACGGTGAACTTATTTATTTGCTTTAGAATAAAGGTGGAAATAAATTATAATGACAAACCAATCAGATTTAAGATAGAGTGTTTCTGGAATTTCTTCGTGAAATTCGTTCATCTATATAGGTATACAGTGTTATTGCATTATAGGCTGATACCAATCAGTGATAAAACTCCAAACCGTAATTTCTTATCAATACTTCTTATCCAAACTCCTAATCTTAATTCATAACACTATTTCTCTACCCTATTTTGAGTCAGAGTGGTTGAGATTTTGTAAGGTCATTTCTAGAAGTGCCCAAGGTCGTCCCTATACTTTAGTTCCACAAAATAAAAGAAACATAAAAGAATACCAAGCAAAACAAATATTGAACATATGAATAGCCACAATACCTAAAATGGCTTGACTAGCTAATTTAAACTGTGTTGTAAAATAATTCACAAACAATTTGACTTATCGATCAATAAAATAATCGGATAGGAATTTCTTCCTCCAAATTAAGACACACAAACAAGTCAACAAAAGTCAGACATGACATCTGTCATTTAATGTGTTAAACAATTTTAACTTGTGCCCTTTCACAATCCAATATAACCTTAAGTGGAAAACAAAGCTACTGGAAATCACAGCGATTTAAAAAAGGTATTAAGAAATGCTTATGACTATTATTATTATTATTATTATTATTATTATTATTATTATTATTATTATTATTATTATTATTATGTCTCACAATTTCAACAGTCCACATCATTCACCCTGATTTAGTCGTTTGCTTCTTTTGTTTGGAAGCTGCTTTACACTATTATTTTACTAACCAATTCATGTTTCCTAATGTTTTCTTGCTTAGAATTAATTAGTTATAGGGTAATCAGTCATTACTTCTTTCTACAGAACAATTTGAATTCAAATCTAAATAAAGAAGAAAATTTTAACAAAAATTAAAAAAAATTCAACAACGAAACTTTTTAAAACTGAAGACTTTTAGTCACAAGAGACACTGTGTACACCATTCCTACTGAATTTTAAAACTGATCTCACTCCATTACTAATACTATGCTTACTTTCTTACTTACGCCCGTTACCCCCTTCCCGTGTAGGAGCATAGGCCGCTCATCAACATTCTTCAATAAACTCTATCTAGAGAATTCCTTTCCAGCTCTTTCCAGTTGTTATTCATCCTTTTCATGTTTACTTTCAATTATCGACTCAACGTGTTCCTTGGTCTTCCGCTTTTCCTTTTTCTTTCAGGATCCTAAGTTAGAGCCTGCTTCGTGATGCGATTTGATGATGACTGCAGTGTACGTCCTATCCACTCTCAGCATCGTTTCCTCATTTCTTCTCAGATGGAAGCTGGTTTGTTCTCTGCTTGAGCAGGTTGCTGCTGATGGTGTCCGGCTAACGAAAATTTTTTTATAAATACTTATATCTTTTTGATGATAATTGTGTCAGTTTTTTAAGTTTCTGCTCCGTACAGTAGAACTGTCTTGACTCTGACTTGGATGTTGGCTTGCATACAGTTGTTTTAAGTTCCAAATGTTCTTCAATTCCGCCCGCAGCTCTTTTAGGGTTAATGCTGATTTCAAGCACGTGTAAAAGAACAGTGTTAGGCATGGGGTCATCAACTCTATCCCACAGAAAACAACCTTGCTAAAAAATCGCTAGCCCGGATAAACAAATTAAACCATTTAAACCCAGCCCTCCTAGTTGAATGATCATCATTGAGAAGAATTATGACGCCACACAGCGAAAGCCAAGATTCTTCGGAAGTCACGGGACCGAAGCCCTATCTAACAACTAGAGCAATCATCAATACAGATAAATGGAATATTACTATACGAAACAACAGAAAATCAACCGAAGGGTGTGCTTATTCTTTTTTTTCATTTGATATGTGAATAACTTTTGTTTATTAATTGACAGTAGTAGAACAACGTTTGTGTGTGTGATACATCACAAAAATTTACTTGCTGTTTTATTTTTGTGAGTAGACAACAACAAAAACAAAACTGAACAAAACCTTATTTCTTTTTTTAATCAATTTGTCATCATAACTTTACATTATAATGCTTTACAACTCATAATAAGATCAATAATATTTAGGTTAACATGAGTTGTGTAATGGGTTATTTTAAATTAATTAAAAAATAAATTGTTAGCTAACTCAAATTTATACTTGAATGCTATTGATTTTATGAATAAATTTTGGGAAGAAAACCTGTATATTAATGTGGAGTTGATGATAGTGATTATGATCACTGCATAAAGGTCATTAACTGTTAGTTTGAGTTATATTGATAGTATCAGATTACGTGTTTAGGTTTCATTCAATAACTGGGATCAGTAGGTTTGAGATGTTGAGTGACATGATTCAGTTGCACCTACCCTTTATCTTACTCTAAATATTGAATCCCGATGTCTCTTCATACAAGCCTTCTCATTCTGTTTTTTTTTTCTAAAATTATTTGCTGAATATTTATTTAATATTTCATTGTTGTTGCTACTACGTTATTTCGACACCATTACTATTCATCTTAGTTAATTTGATCTCATCATGTTAATATGATATGGTAACTTAAGCTGATTCACATTTGTGGTAGCCATTATGTTGAATATGACTGACTAATGACAGAAATAATTATGAACGTTAACTGAAATAAAATATCCGCTGGTTAACTGTTTGTTTGTTTGTTTGTTTTAAATTAATGTTTCAATGGGAATTTTAAGTTGCTTATTATTTCAATATCAATGTTACTATTATTATGTAAATTACAAATTCATTGGTAATCTATATAATCTATATTTTTCAAAGATAAATTTAAAACACTAATGTACTTTCATGGTTTTACATTGTATATTTACTCTCTTAGTCATACAACTATACTGTATCATAGATATATTGTTGCAAAGAGACGAGAAACGAAATGTTAATATTTGTTCTCTAGTTGATCTGTTATAACTTGTCAACTGAATACTGATTATCTTGGCTCTTTTAATGCTACTTTTTATATCTGGTCGTCTCTGATTGTTGTGTCAGAAACGCTTATCACTTATACTCAAAACGAGGGACCTCTGCAATTCTCACAACGCGAAAGTAAGAACACAAAGACTGGGTTAAGTGAAGATTTATTAACCCAAAAACACGACGACGATCCCAGTCGAAAATACACTCATATATTGGTTGTACAGCCATTTTGCTTAATAATTAGGATGAAATCACATATATAAAAAATACTTTGAGTTATAAACGAATCATATGCTGAGTATAGTTGATGTCCATTGAATACAAGAATATCGTATATTATACAGAATAAAATATTATACGAGAAAACAAAAAAATACTACACTGAATGATCATAACATTGAATCAGAACGGAAGTAATGTTGAACAAAACTCATAATTAGTAAATCAATTGAATTTGACTCGTCATATCATGATTAATTTTAACATCGATGATTTAATGGATTATATCTGACTTATTTTCGCAGGTCACAGATAACGATCCGTTTATATCAAGAAGCGATTGAAGTTAGGGTTTTGCACCAATTGATTTAATAGTGTAAGTCTTTTTGAAAAACCTAAAAAGTTGGAAATTCGATTGCCCGATGTTTATCTGTTCGGAAACTAACATAAGTACGCAATCATAACTCGTCAATATCACTTATTTCGACTTGAGAACAAGGTGAAATTAAGTGTTGTTAGAGGTATATGGGTAGTTGTTAGTTTCCGACTGACTAAACTGGAAGCATGACGACTGGATAGAAGGAACAATTGCTTGTGGCCTGTCAAAACGGTCACGTTTTAGTTTTCAGATATTGAAAATAATAATTGTTCTTTCACTTCATGCATTCATTAAACTGTACAAAAACCCATTCAACAATAAACAATAATGATAATACCACTCATATTTTGGTGAAGTTTCATTCTCTGAACTTACGACTGTCTAGAATCATAATAAAAATTTTCACGATTAAACCATGCACCTCATATAACGAAACTTCACAAAAATCACACACTCAGATTGAATAGTTTCTCGATTTTATTTTTTAAATGAAACAAAACAACTTATTATATGAGCAACATAAAGACAGTACCAAGTGAAAAATAAATTTATTTTTAATAACAAACATTCAATCAAATTTTTATGTTTACCTTCATAACGTGAGGTTTCCAGAAGTAAAGGAAACCCATTTTCAATAGTATCATTATTATGATTATTATTTACACTTTCATCATTGGGATTAGTCTGATTTGAATTAAGGAATTCTTTTTGTTCTTGATTTTCATTATTATCTTGTTCACTACACACAGATTTATTTTCATTATCATTCTTGTTAAATTGACATGAAATAGTATGGTTCAACATTTCGTTGGCTAATGAATTAGTTTGAGAATTTCTTGAAGTTTTGGACTTGGCGGATTCTGCTTGAGATATTGATTCTGTAGAGATTACACTTTTTGACCTATAACTTGAAAGGTGATCACTTGATGTCTTCTTAAGACTATGATGAGTAACAGTTGAAGATGATTTTATAGGTTTATGAGAACTTATACTCAATGTTTCATTGGATGACTTCTTTAACTCTATAAAATATAATAAAGTATTACGACTTTGTAAAACAAAAATAAATACTTTGAAAAAAATAACTGACGACAATATAACAGCAAAAAAAGAAACATTTAAACCATGGTTTTTTTTATCAAAGTCAAATATATAAACAACACGGATCAAAGTGTCAGTAACACACATTAAGCCTTAGATGGTGGTTGGAGGTAGTCGACAGGAAACCCTGGACCCGGGTTTCGTGCTACTTGGCACTCGTCAGCAAGGTGTACCTGTAATCTTTGAGGGAACTGGTGCTCCCTGGCGGATTCGATCCAACCACCATTTAATGCTACAATAGTGCGCGCAGTGTCGAGTCACCTAGACTGGTGGCCACATTGCAACATGATCGATAGCATTCAATCTGCACTAATAATCAGGACTAGACACTCATAACATTGGTCACCCAGTGATCAATCAATTGTGACACATTAAGCCTTCTTAGTAAATGGGACTAGTTAGTTCAAAAAGTGAGTTAAGAACTGAAAGGATTCTTTAAACTGATATTCATATTCTAATGACATACATATTAATACTAAACGCCTCGTGCTTCACACTGATTAATTGGATTCAAAAATAAAACTCATCATAGCTCAAGTCACTGATATTAAGTTAAATCGCTCGTTACGTGTACTGAATCTCCTTAGTTTGATACCTAGCAAAATCATGTATGGATGTTGTTGAAGACTCCCATAACACAACAAAACACTAATCCAATTTATTTCTAGATTTTAATCTTTATCTATCTAACATTAGCTTATGTTGCAATCAATCTTCAAATCAAACAATCCTCACAAATCACCTGTACCATGAGTTTTCATGTATTCATGCTTATAACTATCTTCAAGAAAAATTCCTAAAATTCTAGTGAGAAGCAGTGGCTACTGAAATTCAATCATTTCAGGTACGAGATAGAATATAACGGATGATAGCAAGTGATGGTCGCTTAATATTGCGAATATTTTTCGATAAATAAAACAGTCTAATTTCAACGAAAATCAATACGAACATAGTTATTGTTCATCATTATGTAAATAAAGTCATTCATTCATAGAACAGCTATATAAATAACAATCACGTTATTCGTAGAACACCTATCATTATTATTACAGAAATAATTTTTAAAAAATCTATGAGTTCATATCTGTGAAAAACATCTTAGTGACTATATATAATTCACCACGAAATGTAAACATAACTAGACATGATGAACCCATTCATTAAAAGTTTATAAATATGTTTTATGCTTCAGTCTTCGTGTTTTAAACTGAAACAAAAAAATAATTAATACTTTTATACTGATTTCTTTCAAGTTTGACATATGATACACTCCAGTTTCGTATAGCTTAAGTACCGTACCGTGAAACTTTATTGATCAAGTACAATGATGATTTCAGAACAATGACCAATTAATATGATATTACATTTGATCGCTCAAAAATAGATTCATCACCAAATATGTATCATCTGTAGGTTGTGATAATTAAAAAAATGATTTCAGCTATAATCCAGCACTTGATCATATAATGTAATGATCTTACCCTATTGTTTGACTAATCCAGCGTGTTAACAATTGAGAAAAACGATAGGATACTAAATTTTGAACGAGTTAAATATTACTTTTTTCTATTCACCAGTATTATGACAGTTTTTTCTAGTTCTGATGTAAATTTTAAATAAAAAAACTGTACGTTTACGCATAACCATATAAACAAACTTTGATTTTTATATATGAACTAAAGTCGAAGCGGATTTTTTGTCGAGCTACTGTTAATTTATTTGTTTGACCTGATAGTAGCGACTTGGAATCCGTTTGGGATTTCATGAGCTCGGTACACAAACATGATATTTAATAAATATCACTGTGTAAAGTCAGTCTTTCTTTTAAAATTCCCTGCATCACTGTCTTTCATTTTAATCGGTAAACCTATTTCTCCTGTATTCATTGGATTGATGTGAAACATGTGACGGACCACATATATTTATCAAACTAACATGTTCGTAGCCGTCTAGATCCAACATGTTATTGATCAAAAATAAAAAGAATAACAGATGGATTTATCGAATATGCAGACCATTTTGTGGAAAAATAACCCTATGCCCATCAATAGTTATTGTCTGAAAATTAACAGTTAACGAGGTATCAGTTAACATTAAGCGATAACTGGTTACTATCCATTGTCATATTTATGAATTCTATTGGTAAACTTGAAAGTGAAGCCATCAGTTTAAGTTATAGGACGTCACAATGTAATCTGATGTTGGGTATATGAGAGTGATTGGCAGGAAGACCTGTGACTAACTTTGCAACTCGACTACACGAACCAAAAAAAGTGTATCTCAAATCATGAAAAGTTCATTTTCCGAAAGGAAATGTAAAATAATGTGATGCAGTTTCAGAATCAGAGACATTCTCGCAGCTTCGTAAAACCACTGAAACCTGACTTCAGTTTGAATGAAGTTTACATCCATTTGTATCTAATTTTTTACTTTGGTTATGATATATATATATATATATATATATATATATAGCATTAAGAATATGGTGAGATTATTTGTTGATTATATGTAGAGTTTTCATCCAGTTAATTTCCGTATATCGTTTAATATGAATTTGGTTCATTTGACTTCCAGTATATTTTATTCTATTAATTAAATGTGGAATTTGCGTTCAAATAAGTTGTTTGGTTTGATGATTCATTTATCGAATAATCAAAGTGTCATCGGTCTAAAATCAGACTGGAGTGTAATTTGAAGTTCTTCGTTTCAAGAATTGTTTGGAAGTAGTTAAGGTTGAGTTGACGTATCCTCGTTGTCGTTAGAGTAAACACTTTTACAACAGACCTCAACAGCTCACACATACCTTAGTTTATTGTGAATAACCTTAGTCAGTTAGTCATATAGAACGTAAAACCTGACACATGTGCATCGCTCCAAGTTGCTACACCAGATTAGGACAGCGAGTTGAAAAAATATCAAGATAAATCACATGGTAGAAGTTGTAACAATATCTGTATTAGCATAAAAGATTAGGTTTAAAAAGAAAAATATGAGGATATTTCAGAAATTGGGAACTAAGATAAGATAAATAGTGGATTCATCTGTATCATTGTATCCAAAGTCTCTAACCATTGGTTGCAATTATCATGCGGAACCCAACCACTTAATCTTCATATACCAACATGGTTCAGTACAACAGTCAATGACTTCATGTGTAGCATGCACCACACATGGACTGAAGTCGAGTCTTCGTTTGGTCTCTCATGGCTTTCTTCTGAAATACTCCCACATCAAACAACATCGCGCGCTGAGGTAGGCAGGGATTAGTATACATAACACTTCCCAACCACTCCGGCTGACGAAGAATTACTGCCTCTGTAGTGGAGGCTACTCACAAAGGTGTTTGTAAGTAGTGTGTAGTGGAACGTGGCACTGAGGTTGTAACCATTGTTAAACGGAGTGAAGAGTCGGTGCATCGAAAGCACAGCGTTGACTGAACACTTGGAGACCAGACGAGAAGACAGTTCAGATAGCAGAACACACAGAAAGACGCAAATCGACGATTGATAGCTATTTGTATGTATTACGTTAATACTTATTAATTTTCGGAAAAAATATACATTCCTCCTGCCCATTGTCGTGTTTTACTCCTCATCAACCGATGCTCCATCTTTACCTAGTACTCTGTCCCTAACTTGAGGACTGCCCACTCCATGGTTCATAAATGTACGGACGACCCTTCAAAGATATCTATGATCGAATACTAGTAACCCATAAATATCATCTATTCTTAATGTTCATCTTTTACACCCATAAATTAGAACGCAGTGGATTGCTGTGCAATAAACTCGTCCTTTGTTTGGCAAACAGACATTTCTCCTATAGCACATGTGACACGAGTTGGTGAAGACCAGTTGATCTTCGTGAATTTTTAACGAAATTTTGTCGGACACCAACCAACTAGGGATGATGAAACTTTCAAGTCAAGTGAAGTGGTCAGAACACTCAGATAATTCACTCTCTATCAATAGTTGGGGCATTAATACGGTCCTGAAGCAACATTTTAGGTTTGAAGGGAGAGAATCTCATCCGAAACATGTTTGTATTGTTGCCAAATGCAGTCAGAAGACTTTTGTTAGCTCATCGTCAGAATAAACTGTTATCTGTGTATTCTAAGTCAACAAGTAAAATTTTGTGGTAAGGAACCAATCTCTGAAAAATTAAACGATGAGAGAGTTGTCTCTAAAAGAATGTCTTTGATGAATGTAAATAAGGACAGTGGATTGATTTATATCAATAAATATAATGTTCTAAAAGTGTAACTTTTGATTATAACAACCATATAGCGATTTAGTCCATCAACAAAGAATCTTTATCGTTAGTCTCCATATTCAGGCTAATGGAGTATTTGCACGATAATTTTCAAGTGTTATACGAGCGATAAGTGGTTACTAAAATAAATCTAGTTCTGTTGATATCTGTATGCAGATTAAAATTACGTAAATACGTGATTATCAGTTTAAATGTGGGTCATATGAAAACAAATTTATTATAAACAGTTAACACGTAGTTCTTTAACAAATTCAAATAAATAAATAGTCCCTAGTTTCGGATCAAGTTTACCTGCCAAAATCGATTTCAAATTTAGGTTAATAACATGCATTTAACTAGTTTGAAATGAGTTGGAAGTTCCATATAACGTGAAGTAAAATCAGTACAGATTCTAATATGTATAAATAAATAGTATCCAATGTTTTTAGCCTCCGTTATTTCGAGTAAAATTGAGTTATTTACATTTTTCAATGAAAAGTAATAACTGTAACTTAAAAATCTAAGTAGAAGCTCAATGTATTACACTCATACTGAAAATTTCCTCCCTCTATACCAATATGTGTGTTAACCTGAGAAGACACACATTTGTTCCAAATTCTATACGGTTCATCATTAAATTAAGGTAAGAAGTACAAGATATATCAGTCACAGTTATAAGATAAAAAAATTATATTTTGGTTAAGATCTTCAAATAAAGTGAAATTTCACAGTTAACCAACATTAAATTTATTTGATTGGTAATAATTATTGATTAATTATTGAAATAAATAATGAAATTTTATAAAACTTGAATACAATCATTTCAATCTACCTAATTTATTTGACTTCGGTGTGTCTATGCTGGATGAACTGGATGAAAAATCAGGTATAATTCTTGCATTGGAGTGAACGTGTGCATTTTGATTATTCTGTTCGAATCCTATCTTTACATTCCTTGAATACGTGAAACAGATACATTATAATATTAGTTTTAATAATAATAAGCCGAATACGTAACATTATAGTCAATACGTAGATATATATCAAAAATCCCTAAACATAAGTGTTAGTTACAAAAAACGAAGCTTAAAAGAACTTAATTTTCATTAGGATTAAGACCTAATTTCTCAAATGTTTTATCAATGATAAATATTTATTTCAAAAACCAGTCAAAACTGTGTGCGTAAAACATGTGTACATAGATTGTGATACATTTTAAATGAAACTATGACGAAATGAAGTATTCCATTTTATCTGATCGTTCAAGTAATTGTTGCCTACGTTTGATGTTTCTGGCGCTTAGTTATAAACCACTTACACCACGTTATTAATGATACACTTTAACAGACTGGTGAATATAAAGAATTTTTAACTTTTTATAACAAACAAATGCCTATGAATAGCATTTGAGTCTTCATGAAGCCTTATGGATTATTTGATGAACAATTAGATTCAAGACGCTGATGCCTCACACATCACGGAGGTCAGATAGACAACCATAAATATCAACACGGATGGTTAAGGGAAAATACAACTGTAGCTTATCGATTAACAGTGAAGCTTAATTGCGAGAGACAGCATTAGTCTAGAACCAATAATTCACTGTTGACCATATGAATAGTTCTCCTTTTTACACTGGCATCTATCTTGGTGGTTGAGGTTCTCACTAAGTGGAATAATGTATTTCGAGGAAACTATACGAATTTGGTTATCTATTTAAGAGTAAACATTTAGTGCTGATTATATTATTCAGCGTAGTTTATTAGAAAAATTGACAAATATAATCAGATCATTTTTATCAGGTGTCTACTTGTTTAAAAGAATCATTTAACTTGATGTAATAAAACGGTCTATTAATGAAAATTTACATTTTTGATAATGCTGTACACTCTTATGACGATATTTTCCCTCGAGTTGTACTGACTGCCAGTATGTTTACAAAATTGCGTGACAAATCAAAACGTCTGTAGTAGAATTTATCTCAGTTAAAAATATGCAAACAAATACTGAGTGATCATTATGATAAAAATTACCACAAGAAACCTTTACAAAGTCGATTCTTAAGAAAAAAGCACCTACTTTGATTCTGGATTAGCTTTAGTAAATAAGGTAAGATATTCATTCTCTTGGCAGGGATTCATTTCAACTTGTTGATCAAGAGCATGACGATGCTATATTTGCATCAAATGAAAAAAAATTCATTACAATAACAAAACTTTATAAAGGATATCTAACAAAAGTGAACATATGAATGTACATACAGTACATTTTATAAAGAATTCAATAATGTCGAAGGAAATATCATTGTATCTCGAAATGAATAATCTTATTCGCTTACTAACAAAAACTCAAATCGTTTATGTAATTTAAACAGATGGTAAACAGAAATTGATTCATTTCAGAGACTGTTTTTGTCGTAGACTAACATAAGTTAAATAACTACTGTAAACCGAAGGGGGATACTGATTTACTGTTTCATTTCATAATGAAATCTAACAGAAGTGAACACCCACACATGAATCACCAAAGGCTATGATGAATACGATCTCTAATTTGCGATTCATTTTCATATATTTAGTTATATTTCATATGATAAATAAATTCATTTGGTAATTAAATTTATTCACATTTGATTATATTGACTTCGATCAACTTCCAGAACATTTAATTCCTTTCTTCATTATAAAAAAGTGTTGAAATACAACAAACGTTATCGAATTGTTTACTATATATTTTTTTATTCGGTAGAAGTAAGTTAGTTTAGATTATTCAATTCATTTGATTAATTTAAAGAAATCTTTTCAAACTTATAACTCAATTTTTATCGAAGCTTAACGACATTTTCATAGAAAGCATATACAACATCTAATGCAATGTTATGGAACTCAAAACAACTATATGCAAGCCAATATAAAGGTCAGAATCTTCGATAAAAACATCAAGACAGTCCTACTGTACGGAGTTGAAACGTGTAGCACTACTACAACAATCATCAAAGAGGTATAAGTATTTATAAATAATTGTCTATGCAAGATACTCAACATTCGTCAACCGGATACTATCAGCAACAGCCTTCTGTGAGAGAAAACAAACCAGCAACCAATCGAAGATGAATTTAGAAAAAGATGTTGGAAGTAGATGGGACACATATTGAGTAAATCACCAAACTGCATCACGAGGCAAGCCCTAACTTGGAATCCTAAAGGGAAAAAGAAAAGGGGAAGGCCGAAGAACACACCACGTTGGGAAACGAAAGCAGATATGAAAAGGATGAGTAGCAACTGGAAAGGATTACCCAGGAAAGGGTTGGATGGAGAGTGCTGGTGGGAGGCATATGCTCTTCTACGAGGGGTAACAGGAGTAAGTAAGTAATACCATGTATATATGAAGAAAAAGAAACACAACGTACTGGTTAGAATTAATTCCTAACCAAATTTAAGTTATCGTTATCATTGTTTTTGCTAGAATTTCCAACTAATCTTGTGAATGGTTCATATATGAAAACTTTAAATATTCTACTCATTCAATCTACTTTAAGTGTTATTTAATGAAATGAAAAAATCTGTCCTAATAGAAGTGTATCAACCATTTTTCCAAAAGTGTCTATGGTACAGATTACTATATAAATATAACTTAAAAATAATCTGCATAGTTTGCATAAGCCATTTTGGTTTAACTCATCAATTACTGTGAACAAGTCCAGAGTTTTTATTTAATATTTCTCATTATTTCACATTTTGTTCTAATTTCTTAATTAAATGTTTACTATGCACGATAACAAGGTGATCATATCCAGTACATAAATCGAGTTGTTCTTGGTATCGGTATTTGAATAAACTAATCAAGCAAAAACACCTTCTGTCCTTACTTTGAATTAGGATCTTATAACAAAAACGTATTTCTAATAGATCCTAAATGAATATTGCATCCAAAGAACTTAGATGTTAGCTGTATCAACCAATAAAATAAAAGCCAGCATAAGTAAGCTCCATTGATAGATATATGGTGCATTCAGTAATTTTTACAGGTTTCACAGAAAGTACTTTGCAGTAAATGTCTATAATTCACTTTAAATCACTTTAATTATTCTGCAAACAACCAGCAAACGTTATGATTGATTGAGCCGCTAATTAATCAAATCTTGTACTGTCCTACAGTATTAATGGGATGTCAAACTTCTATTTACCGCACTTGATATCGTTATCTTTGATTTGGAAACTGTATAAGTTGATTAAATATTATATTCCCGACAATAGTGATAACACTTTAATGTTACATACAGTTTAATTTAATAAATGTTTGCTAGTATAATAATAAAAGTAGATGCATATAGCATTTTTACATTAATTCAGAAATTCTCAAGGTTTATGATTGACATTTTTTCTTCGAATGAGAAAATTTTAGATAGAAAAACTCATCCATATGATTCCTGAACAGTCATCATTTGGACCAATCTGGGAAGCTAAAAAAATCTCAGAAACACTTCTCATAAACCGTCATGAATTTTTTGTGCAACTTGCTAAAATGTCTACCGAACGGCTTTAGATATGTGAGAATCCTGATCTGTTTTTAATGATACAATTAACGTGATTTGCTAAACAGTTTACGCTAGACAAACCAAATAACAGCGAATTCTCAATGATTTACGGTGTCAAACACAGTAGCTAACAAACAGAATAAATATTTAATGTCATTTTGCTTTGACAATCTTTTTCATTCAGGGAATGCACAAAAACTATTTTCTGCCATTTTTTAGAAGCTTAAAGAACTAACTGGAAAGTCATTTTCAACGTAGCCTCTTTCTATACCTAATGATGTCGACATTTCTTTGTGAATTTGCTGTAAAGTTTGCTGTCCTGATCCTGATTAACTCAATAATAACAACACGGTTTTACCCATCAGTAATTAAAGCCGCCAAGTGTCAAATTATGCTACGTAAAATAGTTCTGAAATAAGATTAGTGTTTTAAAAGTGAAAACCAATAATCGGAAATCAATTATGCTTGTACAGATTCATAAAACTTCTTCAGCTTTTTCTAAATAAGCTCATTACATATTATTAATTCATTTACTCTAAATCCAGACTTTTTATATATAAGTGGCATTACCGACTGGTTGTGATTGATACATTAATCTGAATTACATTATTTTTATCAGAAATTTCTACACCATTGTAAGTTTGTGGTGTGCTACTTATGTAGACATAAGTCGTATATGACGTGAGTCATCAACAGAATGTCTGGCAGCAGAGAGACGAGAAGATCGAACAGTAAAGAATGAAGAAAGAATGCAATTTGTATGAAAATGCAAGAACAAAGGAATTCTGACTCATTTGAGACAATTCATGAACATTTTGCAAATTAAGCATTTAATATATGGTTGTTAGATTTTACTGAGGAGTTCTGTAATGTTCACTACAAGTCTACTTAAGTGTTTAATGATGTTGCGTAAAATAGAGTTGGCTCCTACGCAGGTTTATATCAACTGAAGAACCATCGATATTCGTCGGATCAGTGGTTAAACTGAATAAATGGTTTGGTGAATAACGCCTTGGTTTTTAAAATGATGATTGATAGGTCTCCGTGTCAATGTGAAAATCAACAATTGGATGCAGGCATTTCCATCAGATGAATTCCAAACAGTACGAAACACGTGTCCTGGATTTCACGACTAATCAAGAAACAACTTGATTCAAAAAAGTGCTTGGTTTTAATAGTAGGCTTCTCAGCAATCCACACGCGCGACTTCACATACAGGATCGAACTTGGAGTCATCAGGTCTAATCTAAAGTTCCAGTACTTTTGGATAACTAATTTGAAACATTATGGTCTATAAATCCAACTTCAGTCAATTTGTAATACAACAAAATCGTGGTCCAACTTTATAAACTAGTGGTTTTTCTATTCTATCGACAGTTTTTCAGAGAGCAGATCCAAACTTTCGATTTGTGGAACGTCGATGTTTTATTAAAACGTAACACGATTCTTTAAAATATCAACAATAATTTGATGTTAACTTACGATTGGGGATGTAGAAACTGGATTATAAATATGGCTATTTTCAAGTTTCAGGGAGAAAGATGTGTTACAATTAACAGGTTGTTCCTTTGTAAAACGAAAGAAAATAGTTTTTTATATTTGGTTTAAATGTATGGAAAATGAAAAATGTTATCGTACGAAACATTCTTAACTGATTGTCATTCATCGTTAGTTTATGATAAGCGTAGACCAATAGTTGCTCTTTAGAAAAAAATGTTCAAATTTAAGTGAATAATATTGTTGAGCATTGTTTAATCTCATTTTCATTGATTAATGTTGTCATAGGTTGTGACTGTTTTTAAAGTGTCTTTTACAAATTAGATGTGAAATTACAGTGAGTAAAACTAGTTTATTGATTGAAATGAGTAGTTTTTAACCATTATGATCCCAATTTTGATTCTGCTCCACCTAATTCGGTTCAAGGAGCTGTTTAGTATTATTAGACATCCTACGTAAAGTTTGACTGGAAGTCATGTACATAAATCTAGACATGCTACTGACTTATATTGAAAATCAATAAAGTCAGACTAGGTTTTTCAATAATTAACTCAAAAACAATTTGTTCTACGTGCACTAAACTTATTAAGTGCGTTATATTTCCACTGAACTTAGAGTTATATACAGGAATGGTAAGTTAATTAATTCGACTATAGGTTTTCATTAGGTCAAAAGACTGTAAATTGTCGAAAGCACTTTAACACAATTATACAACTTGATTAACAAATTTAATAACAACAGACGACTTTAAAATAATCATGTTTACTACATTACTAAAAATTAATGAAAATAATCCAAACCTGTAAACCTTTATAAAGATCCTAAATAACTATTTGGAAAGCCTTGGTATGTTGTGCAAGAGAATATCAGCTTTCAATCTAGGAGGAAATGGATATTTTCTACGTATGCCTTGTAGTAGAATGCTTAAAAATTGTTAAAACGGAGATGTGAAATCAATTCGAAAAAATGTTTTCTTAATCACTACACTCACAAACAAATGAAATTTCCAAAGATTGATGATAGCGTGAGTACGTTTGGGTTGTAAATATTTCTGAACGTACATTTCAATCAATTTTTTCATATCTATAAAGCATTTAAAAATAAACTCACCCTCACAGGATCGGATTTAGTATCTTTATTTATCATGACTATTTGGTCAGATAAGTTGTTTTCTTTCAAGTTAATTGGTTGACTCAATTCATGAGCATTCAGGAAACTCCGTAAACCACCATGAATTTTTGATAAAAATTCTTTTAAATCAACTGACTTCCATTCTTCATAAATTGAATCAAACTCTTCATTAACTAATTGTAATTGTGTCATACGCCGACGTGATAATTCTAAACGCTTTGACCATTGATCAAATTTGGGATCGGTTGACAACTGAATAGGTAAATTGAATGACTTTCCAGACTTCTTAGTATCAATCATACTTTCATGACTTAGGTCGCTCGAAATAGACAGATTACATTCTTCAACGGCACCATCGAAAAATAGAAAATATTGCAAAACACAGTAGATTATGCAGTCGTAAAGTTATCATATTTTTCAATTTATTCCATTTTACTTCAAAGCACATTAAGGCAATTAGAATATACTTCAGTCAAATCATTTCATTACAATGATGTACGCTGATCTAGGATTGTTAAAGCCAAACATTATACAAATGGATTATATTTATTGATATATTTACTGTCATTTATTTTCAAGTTTCAATATACCTAATGATGAATTGTTTACAATGAATCTGTAGCATTAAATAAATCCCTAAAGTAAAATTTTCTGTAAGTCTTAGACAGTGACGTTGATCCCATTAGTTTCACAATAAAGATTCCAGCTGAAGGCCTGCGGTCACGCATCCACACTAGATCAGCATTGGATACGCCGTGTTACGTGCTCTTCTAAACAACTAGGCAGCTTAGATCAAGCACTTCTTAACATATTGAATACCTTTCAAATATATCTTCGAACCCGTTCACTCCTGAATTCTGGTTCGACTAGCTTTGGGATTTTTTTATTATAAAATTGTCGCGGACAAAAGCCTTGTCAAACCCTGAATATCCGTGATATCTTTAGATCTAATATTAACAATCACATTTTATAAATTAATTTGGTATTATATTATTGAAGGTAGTCGACAAAAATCTCTGAAATAGTTCCCACTCTACTTAAGATTTTGTACATGTGAGACTTTTATGGAGTTATTAAGTATCGTGACAACAACTTTCTCCTATTTCATATTGAGAGAATAATAATAACTTTATCAGAAGGGATTGTGTGGAGATTTTAGAAATTTCACTGGTTGAAATCATGAATCCATTGAAGCTAGACCACCATGGAAAACCTGGAAGCACTGGACGGCCGTTTCGTCCTAGTATGGGACTCCTCAGCAGTGCGCACCGTTGGAAGCCGGCTCAGTGGTCTAGTTGGTTAAGCGCCTGGCGCGAGACTGATAGGTCCTGGGTTCGAATCTCGCGAGGAGCGGGTCGTGGATGCGCACTGCTGAGGAGTCACATACTAGGACGAAACGGCCGTCCAGTGCTTCCAGGTTTTCCATGGTGGTCTAGCTTCAATGGATTCATCATTTCAACCAGTGAAATTTCTAAAATCTCCACACAATCCCTTCTGATAATAATAATCATCTGCTCACTAGTGACTGACTTCAAGAGATACTCCTGAAGTTCTAGTGAGAAGCCGTTACCAGTGGAGTTCAACCAGGTCTGTTGTGAGATATCAGCTCACTGAAGACAATGGTGTACGGTGGCGCAACTTCGTGGATTGGTTGAAGTTAGACATTAACACCGCTGGATGCCGGTTCAGTGGACTAGTTGGTTTAGCGCCTGGCGCGAGACTGATAGGTCCTGGGTTCGAATCTCGCGAGGAGCGGGATCGTGGATGCGCACTGCTAAAGTAACTTTATTAAATAAACGAAATTATCATTTCAATATATTCTTTAAAACTACTCTTCACTGCAATAATATAATCTTTAACTATCTATTCTGAAATTCTGAATGAAAATGAGTATTAAACAGTAACTGGAATCCAATGAATTGATCATATACTAAATCCATTTATTCGTCGTACATTTTATGATCATTTCAATGGGTTGTACATATATAATCTTACTATGATTTTCTAGTCGTTTTAAATGTTTCGAAGGTTTCATAATTTTTTGTACTTAATTTAAGTTGTTGTATCACAAGTGCAGTTATATGCAACTAACTGATCTGTTTTTTTCCTAGCATGTACTTGCAAATATTTATGCACGAAAATATGGACTAAACTGGATTTAGACGATGGATAATAGTGGAATCCAGGATGCGCGTTTCACCAAAGTTGGGATTCATCAGCTAGACGTACCTGCATCCTATAGTTCATGTTCACTCGGGCATTCGACTCCCGTACTTTACGCTCCATAAGCCAAAGCTTGATTCACGTAGCTACTGAGTTCAGATAGCCGCAGCCTTGTGCAATGGGGTGAATTTTAATGCACTTGTATCGATTGTTTGGATCTCTCCATTGATGTTCAAAATTATAATGGCAATACCGAGGTAAACCGCACAGGATACGCATATACCAAAAGAGACTGATCAATTGTAGTCCCAAACAATCAGAAAATCCAAACAACCATTACAAAAGACTAAACCAGTTTGAGTTAATCATATGGAACGTCGAAAAGGGTTTGAGAACATAGCAATCTTCGAAACATTATCAAGCAACCATGTATACAGTTTTTTCCGGGATTCTGGATTTTAACTAATCCCATGTGTAATCTTTTTATAGGACAGAAAACAGCACAAAAACTAAACCCAGTTTATATAATATTTCTCCTTCACGTCATTCCATACCTTTCGTTCACAGACTTCATCTATCTTTCTGTAATTACATATTTAAAATTGAGTTTAACACTACAGTTAATTTTTTTCTTGACGCTTATCACTCGACATACTTGAATCAATACACATTCATGTCAGATCATACGTTGGCTATGAGTAACCGACTGATACCATTGTGTTCAAATATAACTTCATTTACCTGAACAATTCATACCATTAAATAAAGATTTGTCAACAATCACTTGTCCAGACAACTTCACTCGTTTATTTTACTACTTAAAAAACAGAGACTTATTCATTAAATTAATTTTATTTTAATAACATTCCTGGGTATGTTACTTGTATAAACAGTTGTAGACTATGCATTCATTTAATACAGCTCGAAAAGAATAGTTTCTTGAGGCATAATTCTCAACATACTATGACATTTATTGATTGCAAAAAATGCATATCATTATCGAATGTTAATTAGGTGAACACCAATAACAGTCATTATACCAACCCATGCAATTTTTTTACTACTGTGTGTGTGATCTTGATACATCTGAGGATCACTGTTTACTTGTTCCAGTTAATCTGACTTCATTTTATTATTGATTTATGCTTCGCAATCGATTTCTGATAGTAAAAGTATTGATTTTCTATATAATTTCGGTGTCAGTTATGTTAGGAACTGATAAGTGAAGAAATATACAGTTAAAGCAATTATTCTTTAAGTGGAGAGTATTTATCAGAAGATTAATTATTGCAGAACACAATATAACTTGTGTAATCACCAGATATTAAAAAAGTGATCAGTTGACATTTCGGATTATTCACAAAGTTCTAAGTAGTATATTCCTATATTGTATCACTACCTATGCTTGAAACTGTTCTGAAAAACAGCTTTCAGTATAGTTAACATCACAGATATCAACCAAGAAATTATTTAAAACCAGAGTGAACTGGTAACAAGTTTCATCCTAGTTTGGGGCTTACCAACGTGGCACAATTACTTTTTATAAAGGAGTTGGACTTATGATATTCAAAGTGAAAACAGCTGTCCAGAGCTAACTAGTTATCAGCTCTCCTCTGGGACTAATGTCAATCCACATAGAAAACTATCAGCTTAATAAATATTTCAGAGGTTCCGACAGAATATCTAAGCTTATAGGATGGGATCAGTGTCTTACTATGACAAATCCCATTAGATTTAAACACAAGTCGTTAAAAACTATGAACTAAGATAAAACATGACAACTCATAAAAATTAGAAAAACTATAGACAACACATATAAGTGAAAAATTGTTTTCAATTAGATCTTCATCAGGCTTTACTCTAATATACATGAATATTTATACGAAAATGTTAAACCAATCAAGACAATTTGCGTCAATAATCACAATGAAATAGAATGGGTCACCACACATAATAGGTAAAAATACAAATACAGCTGCTCCGGTAGAGATAGCTATATCGGGCGTACTACCAGGCAACTTAACCAACGAATGAGTGAACATCTACCAACTTGGTTTATAAAGGGGCCAGATGAAAACAGTACGCTGTTCTATCTTGGCACATCTTATTGATAGCGGTCATGCTGTAGATAAATCGAAATCATTTCGAGTGATCTATCGTATACTTCCACCATTTCCTGACGGAGTTCGTTCCCGCCTCCTACATTGTTGGGATATTCAGAAAAATATCCCAGAAATTATCCTGTTAAGTCTAATGCTATTCTTGGACTTGAAATGGTATCGTTTTTCCATTGGTCAATATTTATTTCACGTGTCATTTCCCTGCTGGTCAATATTTATTTCACGTGTTATTTACCTGTTGGCCAAATTTTTACAAGTGTTATTTTCCACTTTATGATACTATGTGATCTGTTTGATTGGTATATAAACAGAGTATGTTCGAAATATAATGATTCATATCGCAGAGGCTGAGACTTGTGTTCTGGACTCAACTGGCTGGGATAGACGTGGAAGCAGGACCAATCAGGACTCTAGGCTGTTCTTACGCGTTTTACGTGTCTTTGGTCCGATCGATAATTCGCTGCACTCTAATCGGCGGCCAAAACATACAACATACATATAGCTGAAACCATAGGAATTCGTACATATAACCTCAATTTATGTGTACAGAAGAAATTCGTAACCCCCCTATCCCTTCTATGGCCAGTTATAACTTAACAAACGATTTTTCTTTTTTTTTTAAAAATTGTTGTTATTGTTTATTTCAATGATTAAAATCATGAGTCAGTTGAAGCTAGATCACCATGGAAAACCTGGAAGCACTGGAAGGCCACTTCGTCCTATTGTGAGACTCCTCAGCTGTGCATGATCCCGCCTCGAGAGACTCAAACCCAAGACCTACTGGTCTCGCGCGCGAGCACTTTACTACTAGACCACTGAGCCGGCATCCAATGGTCTTAATGTCTAACATCCACCAATCCACGAAATTGAGCGACATATCCACCATTGTCTTCAGTGAGTTACTATCTCACAACCGACCTGGTTGAGCTCCACTGTTCACTGCTTCTCACTAAAACTCCAGGAAATACCTCTTGGAGCCAATCACTAGTGAGTATGTGTTGATTAATATCGGAAGGGGTCTGTTGTGGGATAGTAACTCACTGAAGACAATGGTGGAAGTGTCACTCAATTTCGTGAATTAGTTGAAGTCAGACATTAACACAATTGGATACCGGCTCAGTGGTCCAGTGGTTAAGTGCTTGCGCGCGAGACCAGTAGGCCCTGGGTTCGAATCTCACAGGGGGCGGGGTCAAGGATGCGCACTGCTGAGGAGTCTCACAATAGGACGAAATGACCGTCCAGTGCTTCCAGGTTTTCCATGGTGATCTAACTTCAACTGACTCATGATCTTAATCATTGAAATTACTACAATCTCCGCAAAACCCCTTCTGATATTATTTGTTTTATACTATTTTTGTTATCATTAACCTTATTTTCACATCCACTATTAGTCTGTAATTTTCCGCCTCTTTCCGTTTGTATTCTTCACTATCTAATTATTTACATACTTCTTATTACGTAATGATTGTAATGTTTTTGATGACTATTCCAAGTCTATTTACCCACGTTTGACCTATTTCTAACGTTTAACTATTGATAAGACTTTTGTTATCGTATATTATTATTCTTACTACTATCAGTGCACATGTCTTCCTACAATCAACTTGTATTTTTACCTATTATGTGTGGTGACCCATTCTATTTCATTGTGATTATTGACGCAAATTGCCTTGATTGGTTTAACATTTTCGTAAAAATATTCATGTATATTAGAGTAAAGCCTGATGACGATCTAATTGAAAACAACTCATAACAATAAAATACCGTTGAAGATAAGTTAAGATCAAGCATTAAAATAATACATTATTTTAGTTTACCTTCATAAATTGAACGACGTTCAGCTTCAGTTAGTATTTGCGGAATGTTTAGATTCTGATTTACTGTAGACCAATGACCCACAGAGGAAACTTCAGTAGTTTGTGCATGATTCTGTTTATTTCCACCTTCATATGAGCTAAGGCGTTCCATTAATTCGTATATTTCATTTTTCTAATTTGTTTTTAGAAAAAAATGCTTTTGAGAAATTAATTTATAAACTAATGATAGTTGTAAAACCAAAATAAAGGAATAATCTCCAGACAATTGTATAATTGTATAATTGATTTACCCTTTTCACATGTTGTTCATTTGGAGTTTTTGGTCATTCTCATTTGTATTTATTTAAAAATAGGCAAATCAAATTCTTATCACAACTTATGATATATTTCAATAAGGATATAGTTTATTTATAAGCTTACAATCCTATATATATATATATACAATTGTATAGTTAAGGTAATCCTCATCTACATTTGAAGAATTTCGGTAGCACGGCATAAAAAAAATTCCAATAGAGCGGAATTATTCTTTTTTGTCTTCCTTTTGAAATTTTCAGTTTCTTTTTTTAATATTATTTTACACATTGAATTCTTTGATTTTATTTGTTTCTTTTGAAATAAATTCAATATTTCGAGTCCTACCACCGTGTGTGATATTCATTATTATTACAATTCTTTTTTGATCATAGTATTAGAGTAGCCTTTTGAAATTTCTGGGCCTCTGTTTTCTCAAATATGGATCTATCGTCAGGAACGCTTACTTGTTTTGAATTTGTTTTAACCAAATAATTATATTTGCTAAGCCCGTGTAATTTATGTCCCTTCATAAAAAAACCTTACAACCTATCATACATCTAATTCTTAAGAGATTTAACTGTTACCACAATGACAGTTTGTTCTCCTTCATCCTTTGGAGAAACCTGATACAATCACTGTTGAATTCATAGATTCAATGCATTTAGTGATATCCCTGACGAAATGCTGATCGTAAAAATTTACGAATAAATATGAACTACGGCTGATCGCTGCTTAAAGGCTTTTCATGTAGGTTTTTTGAATATTCACAAGTTAAATGCATACTAAACGAGAATTTTGTTGCATTTCTATATAATTCTTGCTGTGAACTCTTTACTGTAATCAAATATATGACGTAAAATAAAGCTATTACTATCATTACTATGACGAGATGAAATATTACAACACATTTAGATCGATTAACATTTATGCTATTTGTCACGTTATTTATAATTGTCTATCTGAACAACTTTACCATCCTCCATTTGAAACTAAATGAAACTGAAAACAGAATTCATATGAATATCCATTGCTTGTTAATCCAGACCAGGTCTGTAGAATAAAGGTTATACAAGACAAATTAACCTTCGACTATAATCCTGTCCTACAGCGGACAATATAAAACATAATTTTTATGATAATATTTAATCTATTAAATGTCGTTACTGAAATAAACATGATCTTATGACCTATTCAATTGAACAATACACGAATCAGAAGAAGATTTGTAGATATCATAGTAATTTTATTAGTTGAGATCATGAGTCAATTGAAGCTAGATCACCATGGAAAACCTGGAAGCACTGGAAGGCCACTTCGTCCTATTGTGAGACTCCTCAGCTGTGCATGATCCCGCCTCGAGAGATTCAAACCCAAGACCTACTGGTCTCGCGCGCGAGCACTTTACTACTAGACCACTGAGCCGGCATCCAATGGTGTTAATGTCTAACATCCACCAATCCACGAAATTGAGCGACATATCCACCATTGTCTTCAGTGAGTTACTATCTCACAACCGACCTGGTTGAGCTCCACTGTTCACTGCTTCTCACTAAAACTCCAGGAAATACCTCTTGGAGCCAATCACTAGTGAGTATGTGTTGATTAATATCAGAAAGGGTTTTGTGGATATTATAGTAATTTTAATAGTTAGGATCATGAGTCAATTGAATCCCTAATAATACACGATAACGGAAATTACATAAGCATATGTATGAATCCTTTTTTGATATTCATGTGATATTTCTTTTTAAAATTGTAACAAACTTCAAATTAAGCAAAGACAATATTAATATTACGAGCTTCGTAACAGCTAACCTTCTCAAAATTTATAATATTTAAATAGAATAATTATTCAATTAAATAATAACTTCTTAACCGAACCTTTAACACGTTAAATATGTTAAATAATGAAATGAAATAGACAAACTTGTTCATTTAATTTCTTTTGTAATGTAAATTTTTCTTGAATGATTACTGCATGATCATCATTCAACTTGTTCAATAGTTTTCCAGTCTCTTGTTTAACAACTTTGAGTACCCTTAATTCTGCGGTTGCCGACGCAGCAACTATGTATGTAAAGTGTGAAAAAAAGTTTAATTGCATTTTATTAAGTCGTTTGAAAAATTTGAGTAGTTTATGAGTTAAATATATAAATAAGTATTGTAGAAATAAATTTTACTTCAACTATGCCTTGACAATACTTGCAGACGAAAACCGCTAACCATTAAAGGTAGTTAGCAGAGCACGTACGAATGATAAGCAGTTTGTTTCATTCTTAAATAATCATTCAAACAGTTGTTGAACCCCAATAATAGAGTAGCTGTGTTTGTTTTAGATTGACTTTGTGTATGCACAGAGGTACTTTGTCAACTATCAATGCAACACGGTTGATCCCACCCCCTAAACAAAACGTTGATGTACAGAAGCTTGGAAGTGATTTCTCCAGTTTGACAGGTGCAAAATATTTGCCAATCATTTTTGAACAAAGCATTCGAATTCCTAGAATTATTCAAAAGAAACATGATTTCCTCCATATTGTAGATAAACTTTGTTGATCAATATTAACAAATAAAAATCTAAGCCAGACCACCACCAGTTCCGTCCTCAGCAGTGCACGTTCACGATCCCACACAAAGGACCCGAACCCAGGACCTTCGACCTCGTTCGTGAACGATTAACTTTCACACCACTGAGCCAGCATCTAACGGTGTTAACGTCCAACTTCGATCGACTTGTGAATTCAAATGTTGAAAATATTGCAATCTCCACAACATCCCTTACTGGTAAAGAAAAATCTCTCCATATAAATTATTGATGATTGCCCTCAAATATTTTTCACATAGATACTCTTTACAATGGGTAGAAAAGCATACTTTTCACTTTCACAATTAGCAAATCACTAAGTATAAGCACGACTTATTATGAAAAAGCAATCATACTATAAGGATTTTTGACCTACTTTGTTTTTGTTCTTCTAGTTCAATCAAAGAGTTTTTCAATTGTCTAAAACAATAAAATAAAATGAGACAAAATGTTTTCTATTTTATTCTTATTAATTATGCTCCCATTTGTGAATAGTCCGCAGCATGACATATAGTGTATTACAATAGTTGGGGATGAAATATGATAATTTAACCTAAAAATTAACTTCATTTTTTGCCAGTGTAACCGAAATAAACAAACATATAATCCATACACGTTAATTGTTTAGTTCTAGAAAATGTTGTTTAGATAATTGGATACCTTCACTATATGTGAGAGTTATTTTGAAAAATGCCAAATTTACTTATACTATTCACATTTAACTGTTATTTCTCAAAGTATATGATGGAATATAATATGTTATTGCACAGTGGAATACATAATCTTTGATAGGCAACTGTACATATGGCACAGGCCTTATAGCAAAAGCATAACTTAATAAAGCTAACTGGCTGTTAGCTTACCATCGAATCAATAAACTATTAATTCAATTGTATTGAAGATAAAATCTATAAACTGAGTTAAGGTATGTTTGCTGAGTTATAATGTCCTCATAATCAATACCGAGTTTGGGATGAAAGTTCAGTAATCCCAGTAGTATTTTTCTACTTTTGTATATTCTACGTGTCAAACCAAAATATAAAACAATTAGTCTCTAAGATAAATTTCAATAATGCAATAAGAAGATGGAGATTATCGGAATTATGTGATATATTCGTGTAATACATTCCTTCATTCTTGAAAATACAGGTCATCTTAACCTGATATCTTTAAATTTTAAAGCTATTCATGGAAATTTAGATTTCTCTCCATAAATTTCATATGCTTACCAACTAAGTCAAGCACAAGTTTACACTAAATGACTCCATAAAACACATATTAATTTTAATATTCAAATAGTCTCGAGTTTAGTGGCTAAAAGGTTTTATTCAGTGTTATTTCTTCTATAGTTTGTACTCATTTTTTAGTAGCTAGGGCAAGGAGTTACTGGTGTTAGTAAATGATTAACAGCTCAGGGTCTTCCTCTTTATATATATACCTATCACAAAGATCATATGACAATCGAGTTACAGTAAAAATGTTTCCGTTAATTTCAAAGATGACTAAGAACATACATTTCATTAAATTGTGAAGACATTAAATCCAAAAATTTAATAATTAAATGATAATTTGTATAATAAGAACATGCTGAAATAAGGCATGTAATTGGGTATTGAACGATACGAGTGGCCATGAAGCAGTAATATTTAGTTAACTATGTTATTATGTTTACATTTTCAATATGATTTCAATCAAAATGAAAACGTCCAAATTCGAGGAGGCAACAACAGATGGATGAATTTTTAAATCAACGTGATATTGTCATAAAAATAGATTGATTTTAGAATGTTGCTTTTCTTTCTCAATTCATTCAAACGATTCAGCATTATCTTTCAATAAAAAATACAGTTTTATAAGCATAGAATATAACATAAAACATCGTTATAAATTACTTTTGTAAATTAGAGATTTCAGCTTTGAACACTTCATTCTGTGTTTTAATAGTATCATAACCGACAATCTAAAATAAAACATTTCAGAAATAATAATGATAACGTTTTTGATTCTATCATGAAATTTGATAGGTTTTATACGTAATACAATTGAAACGTTCCAAAAGATGGTAAAAAAGCAAGAGTAACAGATTTGAGATTTATTGTTAGACATCAAACACTTTTAATACTACAGTTACATAATCTGAACTGTATACGTTAACCAGAAGTACAGAATTAGTAAAGTACTGTAGTTTCATCACTAACATTTCTGATAAGAAATTTATTGTTGGGAGAATATCATAACAATGTCTTTAACTGAAAACCTTCAGAAATTAATCGACCTCATACAATCAAGTTTTAACAGTTTTAAAGATACTTGATATTTTCAATCAACCACACAATAATCGAATCTCGTATTCGTATAGAATTATGTGTCAAGAGGTTCTGGGCCCCAAGAAGCATCATCATAAGAAATGGATCTCTGTAGAAACACTGGACAGGATCAGAGAAAGGAAGAACAAGAAGACAACAATTAACAACAGCCGAACACGAGCAGAGAAAGTCCAAGCACAAGCTGAATACATAAAAGCAAACAAGCAAGTGAAGAAGAGCATTAGAGCCGACAAGCAGGAATACGTGGAAGAACTCGCAACGACGGTGGAGAAAGCCGCAAGAGGAAATATGAAACAGCTTTATGATACAACGAAGAAACTAGCAGGGAGATACAGTAAACCAGAGAGACCGGTCAAAGACATTGAAGGCAGGCCAGTCATTGAAATTCAACAACAATGGAACAGATGGGCAGAGTACTTCGAGGAACCCCTGAATAGGCCGGCTCCGATAAATCCACCGGACATCGAAGCAGCACACACAGATCTTCCTATAGATGTCAATCCACCAACGACGGAAGAAATCAGAATGGCCATCAGACAAATCAAGAGCGAGAAAGCAGCAGGACCTGACAATATACCAGCTGAAGCACTGAAGTCAGACATCAAAGTAACTACAAACATGCTTCACCTTCTATTCAAGAAGATTTGGGAGGAGGAACAAGTGCCGATGGACTGGAAGGAAGGATACCTCATCAAGATTCCAAAGAAAGATCTGAGCAAGTGTGAAAACTACAGAGGCATTACACTACTGTCAGTACCAGGAAAAGTCTTTAAATGAGTGTTACTTAACAGGATGAAAGACTCAGTAGACGCCCAACTTCGAGATCAACAGTCTGGATTCCGTAAAGATCGGTCGTGCACAGACCGAATTGCGACACTACGGATCATCGTCGAACAATCAGTCGAGTGGAACTCGTCACTCTACATCAACTTCATTGATTATGAGAAGGCATTTAACAGTGTAGATAGGAGAACCTTATGGAAAATTCTTCAACACTACGGAGTTCCTGAGAAGATTGTCAACATTATCCGGAACTCATACGACGGACTACAGTGCATGGTCGTGCATGGAGGACAGCTGACAGATGCATTCCAAGCAAGGATCGGAGTAAGACAAGGCTGTCTACTCTCTCCCTTCCTCTTTCTTCTGGTGGTCGACTGGATTATGAAGACCTCGACATCTGAGGGAAAGCACGGCATACAATGGACAGCTCAGAACCAACTAGACGATTTGGATTTCGCAGATGACCTAGCCCTCCTATCGCATACACACGAACAAATGCAGACAAAGACAGCCAGTGTAGCAGCAGTCTCTGCATCAGTAGGCCTCAACATACACAAGGAGAAAACCAAGGTCCTTAAATACAACACAAAGAACAGCAATCCAATCACTCTTGATGGCGAAACTCTGGAAGATGTGGAATCCTTCACATACCTGCGAAGCATCGTCGATAAACAAGGAGGTTCAGATGCAGACGTAAAGGCGGAGATCGGCAAAGCAAGGACAGCATTCCTTCAATTGAAGAACATATGGAACTCAAAACAGCTTTCAACCAATATCAAAGTCAGAATTTTCAATACCAACGTCAAGGCAGTTCTACTGTACGGAGCTGAAACGTGGAGAACTACAACAACCACCATCAAGAAGGTACAAGTATTTATCAATAGCTGTCTACGCAAGATACTCAACATCCATTGGCCGGATACCATCAGCAACAGCCTTTTGTGGGAGAGAACAAACCAGCTTCTAGCGGAAGAGGAAATTAGGAAAAGACGATGGAAATGGATAGGACATACATTGAGGAAATCATCAAACTGCATTACGAGGCAAGCGCTAACTTGGAATCCTGAAGGGAAGAGGAAAAGATGAAGTCCAAAGAACACATTATGTCGGGAAATAGAATCAGATATGAAAAGGATGAATAACAACTGGAAAGAGCTGAAAAGGATTGCCCAGGACAGTGCTGGATGGAGAATGCTGGTGAGCAGCCTATGGTCCTTCGCGAGGAGTAACAGGCGTAAGTAAGTAAGTAATATTTGCACTTGCCTCTAGATTAGTTGACAGACGGATTCGATGTTAATGTGTCTATTAACTGGGCCAAATACCAACTTGAAAATGTAAATTGACTACGATCTGTAACAAGTTCTAATCACTCTTTACTATGTTTTCTTATACATCTAGGAGATTTACGAATTAAAACAAACATAAAACATATGAAATTCAATTACACATGATGTATCTTTTGAATTACAGGACTAAATTGGTCCACTAAATTAACTTGCTCGCTATTTTTCAGTTTTAATTTAACTGACAAATTATCATATCAGCGACAGACATCTATTTCTTACCAACTTCAAGGTAAATATCAATTAATTAGGAGGGAGAAAGAGAGAAGGGGCAATGCTTACCTCTATTTCTGTGAATTTGTTTTGTTGTTTTAACAATTCTTGTTTAAGTTGTTCAATTGTTTTCAATTTCTCTTCAAGCATTTTCTGATTTTCTATCAACAGAACAATTTGAATAAAATGATTTTTTTTTCTTGTTTATTATTTTTATTTACCTGAGAGTTGAATAGACTGTAATTCTAATTCTTTACGTTGTTTCATTAGTTTAATTTCATCTTCCATACGAATTCTGTCAGAAAATAAAAATAGTTCAAAACTCATTGGTTACGTTAATAAAAACAAGTTTGACCTTGGAACCGAATATGAAATTATTTGTTGTTATACATGGTTAATATACTGTCTTCAGATTATCTACAATTATACATCAGTATATGTTCCGAAACAAGTGAGAAATATTGAGATTGGATGGTCAGATTTCTGATTTATGAAACTACTTCGATATGATTATAGATATATAAAAAGTGAACAAACTAAATATTACCATTTAAGGCAATTAGTCAGTAAGGTTGAATTTTTCACTACTACGAAATTTGATTCACACTGATTATTACATGACCAATAGACAATCTTGTGGCATATTTAATTCTGATGTTGAAAATATCAGAATAAATAGCTCAAATTCTTTCCTAGTATATTTTAATACCGGTTACAAATATATATAAGGGGACTTCTGCCTTTCTAAAATATGTAATTATTAAATGAGTTTATTCTGAAGATCATTTCAATGTTGAGATTACTATTAACAGATGATTTTCAGCACAAACTAACAACAAATACTAAATCATTTTAAATTAGAGATCATGACTCAGCTATATTGTCCTAGTTTCGAACTTTTCAATAATTTCTAACCAAAGGCCAATGACCATCGAGTCAATCAGGTCAGAAGTGAAATATTAACTTACTGATAAAATAGATGACAGCATAATATCAAGGTTGACAATCTAAACCAGTAGATTTTCAATATAATAGCTCAAAATATTTCAATCGTGATGAGACTTAAAACTGCTTCACTTAATCCTGTTTAAAGTCATGCATTTACACCATCTGTTAGCGCTAATATGGTATGGTAACTTCGGCTGTTTCATATTTGTGTTAAGTACTACACTGATTACAACTGACTGACTCATAACATATAGTACGAGAAATTGATAACTCTTCCTTGTACAACAGATTACTGTCCAGAAGTTGAAGTTTCAGGTATTTTTGTCTGTTGAAATAAACTTCAATATGTTTTACATTGTGACTTGATATCGATTGGAAAACTACTGAAACTCGTTGATTAACAAAGAGATAGTTAACTCTGTTCGTAAGCTTCCTAGCAGTATATTCTCTTGAACACTCTAGGAATCGAATTAATACATTATTACTTAGAAATCGGAGAGTATTACTTCAAACCATGAAATGACTAATGTTAGTTTGCACTAGAGCCAAACTAATAATGACTATCTTATTGTGAAGCTTGTAGTTTAAGAGGCCGATCGTGAAAAATAACACAACTGCGTGTAGCAAATAAGCCTCATTTTTAGACTGAGTCGTATAGGCTGTTTTCTAGTGTTCCTGTTCTTATCATTTATTAGGAGTGAAAATCACCGATAGCCAGGGTGGAATCTTTTGTATTACAGGTGAAACTATATCATATTGACACCTTTGAGCGACCATTCAGATTTAAGATACAAAATGCTAAACATTGACGCAAGCTTAAAACGCCATCGAGGATAACTTTTTGTTGGAAATCATGATTTTGACTAGATTTCTTATTTTGATTGGGTCGAACGATCATTTTCTTGTGAAATGAAATATTGGCGTTGGGTTTTTTAAGGTTGGGAGTCAGGTTACAGGAACGTTAGGGTTAGGAGTTAAGGTTTAGGAGTGTTAATGTACCATAATTTTTACCTTGAATGACCTATATTTAGCCCTAATAAGTTTATTAATGGTGTCGAAACTCTAGATCCACTCTAGACCATTTTTTGTTATCCCGTACTCCTCCACAAAAGCTGCATTCTTATTTGTTAACTTATGATCACCTAATCTCTCGGTCACTTTTAAAATGTTTTAAGGCCACCAGCATAGTTTTACCGTATTAAGATTGATCAATTATACCTGCAAATTGAAATATCACTTTTTCAAAACTGGGATAACAATTTTCATGAGGAAAAAGATTAGTAGGATTTAGTTGAAAAGAGGACAAAGTTTTCCAGAAGTAAAAATACATTTGTTTAATGCCTTATTCATAGTCAGAAATAAGATAAGGTGAATGGGTCAAACTGAGAGATTCGAGGTTATTTAAATAAATGAGACGTGTTAGAAAATGCAGGAGTAAAACATCAAGGCCAAGAACTGTTTATCGAAAACGTAAAAATGAAAGTTTAAAAGAATGAAATAAGTTTATTCACGAATAAATATAATTAAGATTAAGACATGAATATTTTGTATGAGACAAAAATTTAAACATAGGTTTTATGAATAGTGGTCATTGTCAGTAAAACTAACTGGCGAATTTCAAAGGTTTCACACATTAGGATCAATCATTGTAACTCTCAGACGTAATGCTTGTAAGTTATCATTGACGATGTTCAAAGTAAATGCTATTAGAAACATGTCAGTCATTGAATTTCAGCTTCACACTAAGTTATATTTACAGAGAACAAATTCGAAATCATAATAATTATGGTAAATTCATATCAACGATGCGTTTTCCTCAAAAATAAACTATTTTAAAGTTAATTGTTTAATTCTATGAAATCACCAACGTTTAATAAAATATTGTAGTTTCCTATAAAATGAATGAGAAACTAAATCACATAGTTTTGATAATCTACGTCTTCTTATTACATTATCGAAATTTATAAAAGGGACTAATTGTTTTAAATTAACTGTGACAGTTTGTCATTATTTGATATCTGATCAATTTATCACCAAATATTCTATATTATGAGAAGTAAACGACATGGAGTAAAAGATTGTCACATCTAGTTCTGAATTTCTTACAGGTGGTAATTACTACTTGTAAATAATATTCATAATGCTGAACATTCAATCAACGAGGAATGTTTCTTAAATACTAAGTAAATTTTAAACGGCTGGCGAATCAGTAGTAATATTGCTTAGAAATAATATCTACTACATAGAATTCTCATGAAACTGATATCCCTAGTACACAAAATTATGACGTTGACTTTCTTACAACTTTCTAATACATTAGAAATCTTTTATACTTGAGACTCAAATTGAAGATAAAAGACAGAAAGTATAAAAAGTAGCTTTTCTTCCAAAATTAGTCTCAGTATCGTAAACAAAGATATTATATGTGACCTTGATATTCCAAAAGATTCAATGACAAAATCTTTAGTTATCTAATTTGGGCATTACAAATAATCCATCGCTTCCTTCTAGAACTCTCTTAAAAGCTCCTACCAAAAGTTGATTAAACGAAATTTTTCCAGCTTTCTTCTAGTTCATAAAACTTTTTCCAAGAAATTTTCAAGTTCACTTAAAAGAAACTAACAGAAAATGAAAAAAAAATAAATGAGAGATATATCATGTTGTTTAGTGTGATTAACCTAATCATTTTAATTAGTTAAATCCAGAAAGTTTTTTGTTTTATTCACAACAGTTCATTGGAATGTACAATTTAACTTACTGGTTTATATGTTCATGAATTTCACTTTCTAATGTTTTTTCTCTTATTTCCAAAAGATTTTCACGCTTTTTAAATTCTAATTCATTTTTCTCATAATCTTTATGTAACTGTAATTTATCACTAATAATTTTAAAAAATAAATAAAATTCAATTACCAAATTAATGTACAATTACTATTTTGTTTTATTGAATTTATGAATAGAATATATTTCTCAACGGTCAAATACAACTAATATCAAGATTTAAATTTATGACTTACTGATTACAAAACAAAGAAATCTAATGACAACTTATGTATATGCTAAAAGAAGTATTTTACTATAGGATTACAAACGCTTCCTGTAATTAAAGGATATATGTTATTAGCTGACATTACAATGTGTAATCAACAGTAAATTGTGTAAGTTTTTTAGTCACTTAAAAAATCTAATCAGGCATGTTTCAATAGTTAGATTTCAGATATAAGAATTTGTCACTTTCTTTTCGATCCTTGAAAAATATTAAAAAGCGAAACGTTAATTAATTTAATCTCAGTTTCAATTCTCAAAGGAAATTATTCAATGTAATATACAGTATGATTACAAACTCCTTGAATTTCCAATAATTGTCAAATCGTATCAAAACTTCGTTGTGTAATCATAAATAAAATGTTTGGTATACTGTAAATCAATTGTGTTAAACCGATAGAAATATTTTTGCAAAAACTTAATTTATAATAATCGTGAAGTTATGTATTATTTAATGTCTAATGACATTAATCAAGATAGCGAAACAATCATTTCATATGTCTAACTCATTTTCATTGCCACTAAACATCAAAAGTCCCAAAAAAATACTTCCATATGTTTATTGAAAATCAGCTTTCTGAAATCACCATATCTTTAGAGAATTTAGAAATACAGATCTATTTACCATTTTTTATTTTATTTTTTTAAAATTTAGTCACATAGCTGGATATTAGTTATGAGGTTTGGTGTTTATCAGTTACTAATCCTACAGATAAATGTTAAACAAGAGTTCATGGAATACATTATTTTCTTCTGTTTTGTCCCTACTCAAAAAGATTTATTAGTATACATTTTTGAATTCTTTTACTTTATACAAAATGACTCGATACTTCTTTCTCATTTTAAGTTTCTTTTCAAATAACTTCAATCATTGAAAAATTTCTGCACAATACCTAACAATATAGAAGGACTATTGATTATAGTCTATAATTGCACCGCCGCCTTATAAATTAATTTAGTTTAATTAACTAACTTATCTATTTGGAGTTTCTCTTGATCTAATTGTGTCTTCACCAACTGAATAGCGTCTAATTCAGCTTGCAAAGCTTGACGTCTAACAAATGCTTCACGCTCCTCTTTTTGTTGAAATAGACTGTACTTTTCTCTAAGCAGCACCTCTTGTTCATTGAGGGACTGACAGCGAAGTTCAAATTCTTCTTGCAACTGAAATAATAAAAAAATAAATTGCTTTTATAGAGTTCATATTATAATCTATTTTGTGGTTTACTACTCACGAGTAGGTAAACTATGGTTTAAAATATTTTCGAATTTTCTCTAGACTGGAGTCAAATAGATTGCTTATCCTACATAAAAATAATTGCAGAAGAGTGACCATATATGTTAGCTGAACATTCAGCTAGCAATTTACAATTTCTATATATGTCGCTAAGTGTCAGGATATTTTAACTGGTATGTAACTGATACTATGTTATCTATAAGCGAACAATATTGTTTTCGATTAGATCCTCATCAGGCTTTACTCTAATATACAGTAATATTTATATGCATATACGAAATTATTAAACCAATCAAGGTAGTTTATAAATCAATGATAACAATGAATAAAACGATTACATAATATATGAAAAGTACAAGTAGATAGTGTGATAACAGGTGTATTAGTTTTTATAAGAATAATCAATGTTACACAATCGGAAATAGGTCAATGATTAGAAAAATATAGATAGTGAGATAACATTTATAAAAAATTATTATAAGATGACATAATGAGAAGTGTTCAGATAATTGAACCGTGAAAAAAATAAAATGGTAGGAGGGGGTGAAGAATTAATAAACGAAGAGAAGGTTTGAAAAGAAAATAATAAATTCATTTATTAAGGCCAAGGGAGAGATAAGGGTGTTACAAATTTCTTCTGAACACAAAGACTCGGCTTGTTGGCTCGAATTCCGATAGCCAACAAGCCCCTCCTACCATTTTATTTTTATTTTTTCACGGTTCAATTATCTGAACACTTCTCATTACGTCATCTTATAATAATTTTTATAAATGTTATCTCACTATCTATATTTTTCTAATCATTGACCTATTTCCGATTATGTAACATTGATTTGAGCCTTTATTAATCTTATAATAAAAAAAAACTAGTACACCTGTCATCACACTATCTACTTGTACTTTTCACATATTATGTAATCGTTTTATTCATCGTTATGATTGATTTATAAACTACCTTGATTGGTTTAATAATTTCGTATATGCATATAAATATTACTGTATATTAGAGTAAAGCCTGATGAGGATCTAATCGAAAACAATATTGTTCGCTTATATATGTTGTTGTAAATTTACATTATGGGAATATTTCAAATTATGTTATCTGTTGATCATGTATGACAAAACTCTGTCAGTCAAGAGTTGCAGCGCTCCTTATTGAATATTGTTTATTTAATGACACCCGACACGTAATCCTTGTCCGGTTACTTTTAAAAATTGCCTAAATTTATCAGTGAGGAACATTTATAATCTTCAGGATGTTAATAAATCTTCGTAAATTCCAATTCAGGTTACTCAACACCACAACCATATACGCTACAACCCTTCTATCTAGTATAAATTATCCAGCGCCAAACATAACAACGTGTTTTCGATTTGAGAGTGCGAAATCGACAGTATTTTACCATTCATTTGAATTAATCTGCCATAACTATAAAATGACTATCATATCAGTGTATCTCAGCTAAATGATGATCCAATCATAGTTTTAAAAACTGCGATGAACTTATTTGAATCAAACAATTTTTTGTGGTTTCCCTGGATCTCTACAGAAATAGGTGGTGTTTTTAATCAACTTACTTCTCGAGAGTAATTATGTTTGAAAAATAAAAAGTTTAGGGAATTTTATATTATGCAGTCAAATAATTGGCACCATTATGTTTGAACCACAAAACTATGAAAACATATTTAGGTACGATGCATCACATTATTACACTTTTATTTGTAATTAAACATTTTTATTCTTCTTCTCACTCAAAAACCCGCCGAGCTATGTAACATCTTATAGTCATACTAAGAATACACATAATTCGAATACCTTGGTCAATGTATTCCCTAACAAAGTGGTCATAACGAATGCTTCTTTTATCATATAAATAGATATTCAATTTTACCACAGTAATATCAAGTAATAAGATATCTTACTCGCTGTGTATTTTGGAGTAGACGTTTTTGAAATTCTTCTTCCAATTCCGATTTGAACGAGTCTAATTCATTTTGACGAAACTCTGATATCTAAATCAGTAAACATTTTTGGCAATTCAGCATATTAAGGCGAACCACATAGGTTGAAATTTAAAAAAGCTTGGTTGCCGTATACTATAAGCATGAAATGTCAAAAGTTCTTTGCAATTAAAAAACTTAATGTGTAAGAAACATTTAACTAACTGGACTGTATATTGTGAAAAATTTATACTTCATCATGTTAATTTGCATCACTTGAAACAGTTATAAAATCTGACCGGCTACTTTCCACGTAAAATAATATTTAAAGTTCAATTCTTTGGCTAAAGTTCACGTTAATGGTTTCGTTGTGGACAATAAGTAGTGCTTGATAATAGAATTGCACAACTCCAAAACATATAAAATTGTACTTTCATAAATTCTACTTTAACTATTATCTCTATTTACAATAAATAACAGATACATAAAGGAATAGTTGACAACGTTTGGCAATTACTCGTCAAATAAATTATAGTAGTCTTTTTATTACTTTACTGACTAGTTTATTATCGTTTAATTTAATTTAACACGTATTAAATGTGAATTTTAAGGTGAAAAGTAAACAACATACAATTATGTATTTCACTGAATACCATCAAATCTACCACATGGTTTATTAGTTCGTCTTTTACATACTACCGAAGCTATCGTAATTTACAAACTGCAAACCCGAATATTTCTGTATTGATTGTTGAAATATATAAGTAAGAGAAATTATATAAGGACGATCAATATAATTAAAATAAGAGATGGGTGGTTGCTAGCAATGAAATCCACCACGCAGGTTTCGTGCCACTTGGGATTCGTCAGCTGGATGTACCTTCATCCCAGATCAACATAATTATTTTCACGACAAATGATCCCAAAAAAAACTCGGATACGTACTAAAACAAATTCCTAACTTTTTGAGGTTTTTTAATGAAGGGTGACCGCTATTAAAATTAACATACTCGATATACAGAGTTCAATTTCCAGTTTACTTAATAAAGTAATAATGTCGTCCTGTGTCACATTACAGACAATCTGACCTCAAAACTGTGAGTCAACAGTCCCGAATTCAGCCTTTAAACGAGTTGTGAATGAGCACTGATAGCTTTAAACTGTTAGAAAACCACAGAGAGTATGGTTTGGTTTTCAACGAAGCTTTTAGCAACCGTAATATATTACAAATACATTCCCTGAAAAAAAACTAACAAAAATACAACAATACTGTGAGAAAGCCGATGATTTACTCAAGAGAACGATAAAAATTAATCTTGCCTGTTTCTCTATTTCTATTTGACTTCGCTGATTTATTTCACTCTTATATTGTTCCAAACGATCATCAAATGACTGTTTTGCATGCAAAATCTCTAATGACTTCATTGCTTCATATTGTTTATTAATACTGTTTAACCTGTGATCTTTGTGAACGAAATCAAAGCAAAGCATGTCTTTAGTTTGTGTACTTGCCCAATAATTATTTTAAAACTACAGTTATGTTACGACTAAGAAAGAGCTAAACCTGATAATTAAGCACTAGTTCCATAGTAGAGTAAATTATTTACAGCCAGTATTTACTGACTGACTTTTAGTCGTTTTTTAATTGTGTTTAATACTCTTTTAAAAAGATTGTTATTTTGTAAGAAAAAAAACAGTCTTCTGCTGGGTATCTGTCTTTTCTTCTGATGTCTTTTCATATTAGCTTACGTCAATAGTTGCGTCTCTTGAGTATTCATTATTTAATTATATTGCATGACTAGATAATACAATTTATAACCACAGTACTGATTAATCTGACAGCTTGCAAGTGCCTCTTTAAAGCAACTCATAAAATTCTACCATATAACAAATTAGTAACTTTTTACACATAATTTTATGTACCTCTTAATATCAGCATGTCACTTGAGAATTTTCATCTTTCCTGTTACATATAATAGGTCTATTCTTGTTTGATATTCACAAACCTAACTGTATTTTTGACATGTACTCTTTACATCCTGGTGACTATCCGTTTAAATAGCCTGTAATTTACTTATTTAATGAAGTAACATGCACCCAAAAAGGAAAGATATTATCCTCCTATCATTTGGAGTAGTGCTAAACTTTCGTGACTGCGATCGCATAATCGCTAACGATGATTTTGTTAAACGATTGGGATACATATACCTAAGAAGTTATAGAAATATGTCATAAGAGAGTAAGGGTTCTCGTATGCATTGCAAATATTCACATACATTTCTTTTCTGCGCAAGTCTCGTGAAAATAGAACTTGTAAAGTGACTAGCTGTGAACTTACTTTTGAACTTTTTGCATTTATTCTAGGTATCAACTTTCGTATTCCAATATTCCAAGTTGATGATTCCATCTGAGAACACATTAAGCTCTTGAGTGAAGCTAAAAGGTGAATGGCACTAGACTTCGATGCACCTGATATATATTGTAAAGTTTTGTTCGCCATTGAAGCCAACAATAAACTATATACTGGAGTCCTTATGATGGTGATGGACCATGCTTTAGTGCAGCATATATCCAAACCCATATGTTTTAGTTCAAACCAAGGATCCTCCTTGTTGAATTCAGTAATTACCAACGAAACTGAAGATATTACCTGTTTGGACATTCTCTCACCCTTACAAAATGGTAATCATGTCGTTTTATTGTTCAGTTTTGGAGATTGTGGAATAATCTATGATCAAGCTCTATCTCATCCAAGTGTGTGGCAAACAAACATTTTAACCACCAAAGAGTTTACTGCAGCAACAGACTGGTCGGTTAATACTGGATTATCAATTAAGGAGGCATGGTCTATACGTAAAGGTACAGTTGGCCTGGTTACATCTGCATTTATATCACCCTCATAACAAAATAGGCCCAATAACTCCCCAATGTGTACAGCAAAAGAAATAAAGAACCTCCTTAAACGCAGGCGAAGACTGGATATGTTCACTTCTACAGGCTTTGAACATTTCAGCTCTAATTACTGTAACGCTGAGAATCAATGTAAAGTGTTCGCAAATAGAACTTAATTATTCCGTGAGAAACAACTAGTCCTGAGTCTTCAGAACAATAATACTAATAATTTCTGGCATTCCGGACCCAGCAATATCTGCTTTTATTGGGACATAAAGAAATCAATAAAGTTGAAGCCTTGTCAGAATATTGCGGTGATATTTTACACTAACGGTAAAAAAAAGTCAGCCATTAGCTCTTAAAATTGCGCACTGTTGATGGGTTTAGTATTTATAAAGAATGGAGTTGTTCTGTGACTACTCCAACATCTAAAATCATATAAGTCGAGTAACTCTGTTGGTATGCATCCTCGAAACGGGAGAGTTCTGATGGATGTACTTGAAGAACCGCTAGTAATTCTGTTTAATATACCTCTGAATCTATCGAAAACATCAATAGGCTACAAGGGTGAAATAATCAGCCTGATCTTCAAAACAGATCATAAATATTCGGTCAATAACTCACCCAATTAGTCAACATAACTAGTACAAATGTTAAACTATTGAAAATAATTGTTTTGGATACTATTCAACTCCACATGGGAAGAGGTAATCTTTTAGCAAGGGAAGAACAGTTTTAGGGAAGATCTTTCGTGTTTAACCAGTCTCCTTGTAGCAATAGAAGATTGGATTGTAACGAAATGCAGAAATATTCTGATCATTGTCGTCTTCATATATCTAAGCAAAGCCTTTGACAAGGTCTCCCACCTAGGTCTCAAGTTAGACTAAAAAACTTTGGAATCAGTTAGAGTTGGAATAATTAGCTCTCTCAGTAACAGGAAGCAGTTAGTGAAAGTGAAAGGTGCTTTAACATTATGAAAATCTACTAATAGTAATTTCCCTCAACAGACAATCCTACACAATTTCCTTTTCACTTTACGCAAACTATCTGCCAGATGTTGCGTAATCATTCGCTCTACTGTGTGACTTGAAAATACGAAGAACGCAAATTATGTCTGATAGGATCACTGAAAGACTTTAATGCACCAGGACAGTAAACAAACCAGTGATTGTTAGGAAAAAGTTCTGGGTTACGTGTTGCGGTGCGAATCAGTCATTGAAATGACTGATTGAATAATATGATATGAGTGATAATCAGCAATGACCTCATAACTACGGGTATCCAATGCAGTCTTATGAACATTTCGCAATTCCATTTTTCGCTCAGACGAAAAACGTTTAAGTGTATTATGCCCGAAGTTTATGAGGCTTCATTCAGAACATGAGATTCAAGTAGCGACTCCATGTTCTAAATACGATTTTGATATGCTTTAATTGATTTAATGACGAGGGATAAAGTTGTGAAAGGTGTCTTAGATCTGCTTTGTAAAGACAGACAATTACCTATCAACCTGTTTTGGCTATCCTACTGTAGGCTATGTGGTATTCTAATACTGGATTGCCAAATACTAAACGATGTCTCTGGCATTAACATGTCTAAACGTTTTCTTCTACCCCGGACTGACCACCAGATAGGGAGAATTTAGAAACTCCAAAAGCCGAAATCAAAGCGTCTGCGTCTAAAGTTTTGTTTTCCCTATCTAGTGGTGAACTACTGGAATTCTCCAACATAACATACAGTACCTGACCTTCTATCTTTACTACTAAAGACTAAACCCAATCAACTTCCTCATTATTTTAGTTTGTCATTTTTACTTTGAACTGAGTCTGAGCTAAAGGTTCAAGGAACGCGTTCAAACAAATTACAGGCTGGTTACCATATTTCCGTGGAGCGCTCACTGCTATTTTGCGCACTTCCATATCTTTGTTAGCTATAATAGGGCACTAATAAAGTTGCTTCTTTTATGTATTCGCCGAACCCATGCTTTTGTACCTAAATAAAAATTCTTCTTTCACAAAAATTCCGCATACATGTGTGTGCTTAATGAAATAAGTAAGCTAAAATTACTCATATACCGAGTATGAAAATTTATTTCCCAATGTTAACTTAACATTCCTAATCGGGTACTTATTCTGGGTTTCTGGAATTTCCGTTCACCTGTAAAAGACTAACGGTTAGCAACTGAGATACCCCTTTTTATTCTAAGCACGACGTTTGATGTTTCAATTCTCACACATGTAATAATAAAACAGTAGGGTTCAATTTTTGGAGGGGAAGTAAATACTAAACATCATTCATAACTTTACCTAGGTCAGAACCATCTGCTTCAAGCGTCTGAATAGCTTTATGTTCTTTTGAATGGCAAGATATGTCTTCGTAGGCTTTCAGGATCGAGACTAATAATGAATAGGACTCTTTATAAAAACTCGTCTAAAATAGAACAAGTTGGGTGAAATATATATCGTAATACCAATCTTTCACGAACTTCAAAACAATTATATGGCCTGAGATGCGAAATGTCTTTTATGAATTCTTCTAACTGAAAGTGATTATAAATCTAGCTTTTTTTCATACATACTTCGAAATTAGTTATCCCAATTTCTGGCAGAAAAACACTCAAAGAGTACTCATACCCGTGAATCTTCAGATGATTTGCAACTAGGTAATTTGCCATCTTTATATTTTGATCAGTGGTTTTAGTGTCAAACTTTGTTATTGAATTATCCAAAGATCCAAACCCCAGTATCAATTTTGACCTGATCTGAGACTGTTTATGTTTTCTTATTATCATTAAAAATAATTTACTTTTATATTGTCTATATCTCCTTTTTCTTTCAGTAATCTGTACACATGTCGCACGTTTTCATACTTGTCTGATCTACTCATTCTGTATATTGCGCTGTAACGATAACAAACTGCAGTCAAGTTTAACCTTGAATTTACTACTGAAAAAACAAACATTTTACTAAGGAGAAAGGGAACGAACCACCATTGTAAAGCATGAAGTAAGTACGTATACAAACTCGTCGATTATTCTACAAACTTTGAAATCATCTAGCAAATACTACAAATGATAATATAAGTCAACAGATTTATTTTCCCCCAATTCTTAATGTAAAGGCAAAGTTACAGATGCTCGACAGCTTTCACTGCATGTATGGATGTGTTTGCCCCAAAGCAGTGGGGCTGATGAAACTAGAAGTTGTCAGTCCCAAGGAAGTCAGCTAATTAGCTGTGACATGACATATTTTAAGGAGATAATGAAAATGAGTGATGAGGGAAAAATTTCCAGTCAGAACAACTAACTGACTTATTAGGCAGAAAAAAATGAATAAATCTAGAAATGCAGCAAATAAATGGTGGTGATAAGGTACAAAGTATGGTTGGTGAAATCAATAATGGTAATAATATGTAAAAGCATCAATAATATTGACAATAATGATGAACGAATCGCCGGGTATGATAAAGTGAAAATAGTAAACGTAAGAAGAGATTGATTCGTTTTTGTACTCGATTAATCAGTAAAGGTAAGATAAGCCATGAAGATTCGCATTGTCGCCTCTCCTTTCCTTAAAGTTATCTCGAGAGAGGACTGTGATTACGACGATTGGAAGACCTGTAGTGAGAAAAAGTGGTACCCCAACATATTAGACACTCGTAAGTTTGAAATTTGTTGGGGATTACATATAAGATTGAGGTACTAGACTTTAAAAGAAATTTTCGCTGTCGATTACCTATTTTCATAACTTGCGATCAAGTTATCTGTGATTCGCCCAAACCTAGGAAGAGGAGCCTTAGATGATGAGGTAGGTTTTCCGGGCACCATCAACCCATTTTATTCTCCGCCTGTAGCTTTTCTAGAGCTACTGCAAGTTTCAAGCCCGGGCGAAAAAGGAAGGCTAGGAATAAGGTAAGCAACACAATTTCATAAATACCAATCTTCCTAAAAATCGCTAAGCAGAATAAACAAATTAAACCATTTAAACTCTGCACTCCGAGTTGAGCGATCCTTGTTCAGAATTATCATGTCCCATGGTGAGTGCTGATATTCTTTGGAAGTCTCAAGGTCGATGCCTCTACTAGCAACAACAGCAACCTTCATTATAGATACATGGAATGCCCGGAAAATGTGGGACACCGGGAGGACCAATCAAATAACTACGCAAATGAGACAACATGGCGGTTCTCGAAATCAGTGAAACCCATTGTGCGAAGCAAGAGTGAATGTATCGTGAAGATTGTTGATGTCAAATACAAGGGGGAGATATGGCAGGAAGATTGTAGTAGAGATGTAGTAGCAGAGGTGAAGTTAACATTTAACATGTAGATTACACCGAAAGATAGCCCCAGATATAAAGCAATCTAGAACTGTCGACAATTAGTATCAAACAATCAAAGTGTATACAGTATAACATACATATATAAACTGAAACCTGTACTGGTTAAAATTTGGGATGCAGAGATATGTAGTTTTAAAGATTACCACAATCTAGACTTATTATGATGCTTTATGACTGAAATATGTGAAATAGCTTTTAGGGTAAAAAACACTGACAAAAGACCATGACAGACTTTTAGTGGCACTGGGCCATAACCACACAACCCTCAAAGCTGAACACGAGGCTCTTTGGAAAATGAATGTAAAACATTTAACGCGAAGAAAAACCCAATGACGCGGAAAGCGGGAACAATGAGCTCAATTAATTTGAATTGATCGGATTTCATGGCTCGGCCTCGCAGGCATGGTCTTACTTATGTAACATTATTTTTTATCCATAATAAATATGTTGTCCGGTCGCCAGTCTAAATGTGTCTTTCATCATGTATTGAGGATTGTTACAACACGATGAATTATGGTAGACAATGATATGACTTCCACGTAAGATCTTATAGATTAGGTTTTTAAATCATAATAAATCTACAATTTTAGGATTAGGTCTATTATTAGAGCAGTACTAATATCGAAGTAGACCATAATTCTACAGACTCATCAAATCAAACAAGTCGTTTCAGAAATTAAATAACTTATAGCATCAAAATACTATAGTATATGAAATTGTATGTAACCTTCAGAGTATGGTGCTTCGTCACACGTGATCATATATTTTTAAAAGTTAGATATAGGTCTAAATAAAACATGTAAACACATGAAGTATGTAAGTTATAGCATCCAAACACAGTATAAGAAATAGTATGTAAATATGGAACGCAATCTGTGATAAAATATTGTTCTATGGGATAGTCAAAATATATATGTAATTATATAAGTACGAATTTTTACATGAACATAATCATATACACCATGAATATGTTAAACTGAGATCTTATCATACAGCATGAAATTTATAGTTTAAATATTGGTAATCGAAAATGAGGTTATGTATTGTAATTCCAGGCGATCGTTATTCAAAAAGTCCTTTGATGATCAACTGTAAGCAGCCACAATTGCCTTGGCTTCAGGTTGTGTCTGAATGAATTAATGACTCTTTTGTACCCGTTGAATGCCTGATTTCGAATTTCAAATACAGTACATTCGTTAGTGCTTGTGTAGTACTTTTTGACTGAATTGTGTTATTTCTGGGATTCTTAGTTCATACTATAATTCAATTACTTCTAATTATCATATTGGCGTCGCGATGGAGCCTGCGATGGAACAGTTAGATATTCATTCAACTTCTGAAGCTCTTGAGGATTACTTGGAAAGGTTTGAAATCTGGAGCATGACCAAGAAAGATGTTAAAGATGATAAGATTGTGGCACATTTCCTGACATTCATCGGAAGAGAAGCATACAGCTTATTAAAAACTTTGGCATATCCAGAAAAACCTATCTCACTTCCTTATGCAACTCTTAAGGAGCTATTATTAAATCATGTAAAGTGCACTAGTTTTGAATGCCGTGAAAGGGCGAAATTTCATAAGATGATTTGTCAAAATGACCAAAACGTTGGGGAATTCATCCTTGAATTGCAGAAACAAGCTGCCAAATGTAATTTTGGTGATCAACTTCATGTGCAACTGAGAGACAGATTAATCGCAGGAATCAACATACCGGGTTTGGAAAGAGAGCTGTTAAGAATGCCCAACTGTTCCTTTCAAGATGCTAGAACTGCGTGTATTAACTACGAGGCGGTGAATGAACTTGATATCCAGTCGATGAGTATTTCTAATACTTTGCTTAGTCGTCATGATGAAATACAATCTCAGGGTCAATCAAAATTGCGTTCGTTTAACAGTGGCTTCTATTCCCGTGCAAGTATGCAAGCTGTTTCAACAAGGAATTACAAAGGAAATCACAAACGTGAGACCAAGTTTGGCAAATGTTTATCATGTGGAAAACTTCATTCTCGTAATTCATGTGCATTTCGTACTGCTAAGTGTTTTAGATGTGGTAAGATAGGACACATTCAAACAGTATGCAATACTACTGTTCATTTTGCATCAAATAGTACTAAATCTTGTAATTTAGATCCCAGTAATTCAGCTGTTCCTAATGATCATTTATCTTTGTCTACCATTTCGACATGTAATACTCATATTCAAAAGCGATTATATACATCGCTTGGTTCATGTCATGACTTTATTGTGGACACAGGCAGTACAGAGTCCATTATTTCATTCAGCAACTTAAAATATTTAGTTCCTAACGTTGTGGTACGACCCACTGAGGTATCAATATTGGGGATAACTGGACACAGACTGCTTATACGAGGATGTTGTGAGTTGCTAATAAGAGATGATAATTCTTCATACATACCTTGTGAATTTTTCGTTAGCGAAACAGGACTGTCAATACTGGGCTTAAGAAATTTGAAAAGGCTTAAATTGGAGTTGTCTTTCCTAGTTTCTAAAGATAATTCTGATGCTTTACTTAAAGATTTGATAGCCACGTGTGCTAAGTGCAGTGGAGGTATGAAAATTCAGCCTATAAAACTTCAAGTACAGGGTGATCCAGTCTTTCTCAAAAGACGAATAATTCCTTATGGTCTTCGAGATGCAGTACATTAGACAATAAACGATTTGTGTGCAAAAGTTATAATTGAACCGGTTCAGTCTTCAGCATGGGGTACTCCTATTGTTACGCCACTGAAATCGGACGGCAAGACTCCTAGAATATGTGGTGACTATAGATTAACATTGAACTCCCATTTGTTGAAGCAAACATGCACGACGGTAGAGGCTGAAGTAATTCTAAATCGACTTCATGATTATGAAGTGTTCTCGAAAGTTGACCTAAAAGATGCTTATCTTCAAATTCCTTTAGATCAATCCTCATCTATTTTGACGACAATCAACACTCCTTTTGGTCTGTTCAAATAAAATTTCCTTCCATTTGGTCTAAGTTGTTCTCCAGCCATATTTCAGGAAGTTATGAATAAGGTGGTTAGTGATATTGAAGGTAATGAAGTTTATCAAGATGATCTCATTGTTCATGGTTCTGATAAGGTAGTCCATAACCAGAGACTTATTGCTTTATTGCGTCGTTTAATTGAGAAGAATATTACAGTGAATCGAAATAAGTGTTCATTTTGTGTATCTAGTTTTGAATGTCTTGGATACCTAGTTGATGATAATGGTTTTAGACTACATATGAAACGACTAGCTCCATTGACAAATGCACCGTCTCCAAAAAATCTTACGGAACTACGTTCACTAGTGGGTGCTCTTCAATACTATTCCCGTTTTATTCCTAATTTTTCTTGTCGTGCAAATTGTTTATTTAATATTTTGACATTCAATTCACTCAAATGCGGTGAGGGACAAGAGTCATGCTTGCGTATTCTACTAAAGTTTCTTCAAAGTGATGCTTCTCTTCTAACTTACTCCCCTAGTGTACAGTCTGTGCTTATCACTGATGCATCACCTGTGGGTATTGGCGCAGTTTTGGAACAGGAGGGTAGACCAGTTATTTGTGTTTCA